GTATTAACTGAAAATAGCTTTCCTGCTAAGTCAATGATACAATTCCTGATTCCGTGCTCAGAAATATCGAAATCAAAAGCCATTATAATATTTCAAGATTAAACTGAGAGTACTGTATCGTATTTTTGGAAATTCTTATTTACATAGCATCGTTTGTCGAGCACAACTGACTTGCAGAGGGTCTTAGTTTGAAATCCCCAGAATTGCAAACGGTTTTTGCCTGGATGAAATAGCCCTGAATATCTGAAATCTTAATCCCCTAAAGATCGGAATCGCACTCGTATGGTGTTGCTTGTGGTGCCGATTGCTTACCATCAGGTAATCCGTTGGCTCATTTGCCGACTTCTTTCATAAAAGAAACTTTGTTTCATAAGAAACTAGTTCCTTTATTACCTCTGAGAGGTAGGAGTTAGGATAAGGGTTGTGTCAAAGGAACTCAACGTCATTGTTAACAGTATTCGTCGCTGTACTGTATCGAGACTGTAAATTTTATTATGATTGATGGACCAGATTACGAGCGCCAATGTCAACTAGGGTTGGGACTTTGCGATATACATAGTACGATTTTGTACTTACGTATTTTTTTGTCTTGCCACGTAAACATAGGTAGCTCATTTGATCGGCGAAAAGAAATATTTTATTATAACTTTCGTGAGACATACTAAATTAATTTTTATGTTTTCGGCTTATTAAGTAACGTAATTGTTTGACGAGATACTCGACTACTTTCAAGCCATGCTAGAAACTCATAGTCATGAGCAGCATTCTGCGATACGCGACACCTGCTACTAGCTAACTGCAGCAGCAAAAAGTCAAAAATCATTTATTCCAATTAGACATTTACAGGCACTTTTGAACGTCAAATAAAATTTAGACGCGACAGACGCCGTCTATATGGGCCTCTAGCATGGCTTGAAACTAGTCGAGTATCTAATCAAACAATTACGTGAGTAAGCCGAACATATAATAATTAGAAAACAAGTTTTATATTATAGACTTTGAAAGAGATTGTGATACTGCATATGGATCATCGCTTTACTGCATTTAATGGTGTGATTTGATTTGTTTGGTTCTTCAAGGTCCGAAGAGTCTTTGGTTGTCAGGTTAAGTTAAAAAAAATGTTAAGAGTTTTTTATTTTTAGGATAGAATTTGGAATGTTGACCAAAGCCTGACAATCGATTGATAAATTATCGCTAATTACTCATCATCAAGTTAGTGATTTATACATAATAATCAGACCATTTGCAGTCTTAAATAAATAAAAATACTATCACACAAGTAGATTTATTCGGATAATATATTTTCTCAAATAATACCTTCAGATAACCCTAAAAAGCCTTTATGACACGGACGGGCGCTATAGAGTGGTGCTCACCCACTTGTGTCGCGAGTAGATCATAAAGATTAGGTTTAACCCTCCATTGCCACTTGCTAGAGGTGTGACACAGTTTTTATAGAGCTTTGTAGAAAAAAATATAGCTTATATCTTTTTTATGAGGTTACTTCTTTATGGTATCAAAAAAATTTCGTAGTTCGGTAATATAATATCTGCCTGTATTGCAACTTTTAGTGATATCTCCGTTACATTATTATTATTAATTGTTTTCGATTTTATTTATTTATTAACACTATGTAGGTACGGTTTGTTTGTAGGTACAAAGTGTTAGTAAAAATAAAAAAAAAAAGGGGGCTGAAAGCTAAATGTTTTTTTTCTACCAGTCAACCGCAATGGTGATGCAGAGAATTATTATAGTGTATTTGAAAAGTTGCAGGTTGCAATCAATTAAGCAATAAACACCAGTACATAGTATACAACAAAGTCGCTTTTTCTGTCCCCATGTAGATATGCTTAAATCTTAAAAACTACGCAACAGATTTTGATGCGTTATTTTTTATAGATACTAAATAGAGTTATTGATGAGGAAGGTTTATATGTATATGTAGGTATAATAACATTCCTTAATTAAAAAAAGGAGAAATTGTCAGCATTGCACGCGTGCTAAGCCGAGGCGGGTCCCTAGTAGATACTAAACTAATAAATATATATAATACTAGCTGACCCGACAGACTTCGTTCTGTCTAAAAAAATGTAATTTGGCAGTGTTTTATTCCTACCTATTTTATATTCTTTGCAAAAAATTATCCTGAGCAGTCACCCGTCACCCTGGTCGGGGTGAATTAAAAATAATTAAATAAAACACTATAAGATGTTTTATTTAATTATTGTTTTTTTTTATGTAATAGGTCGGCGAACGAGCCGACGGATTACCTGATGGTAAGCAATCAGCGCCGCCCATGGACACTCGCAACGGAGGAGTTAAGAGTGCGTTGCCGACCTTTTAGGGATTAGGGATTTGGAGATTTAGGGATTGAGGAGGGATTGGGGGAGGGGAAGGATTGGGCCTCCGGTAACCTCACTCACACGGCGAAACACAACACTGTAGTTGTTTCACGATGGTTTTCTGTGAGGCCGTGGTATCACTCCGGTCGAGCCGACCCATTCGTGCCGAAGCATGGCTCTCCCACACTTAGATATTGTGATATATTTATCTTACACACACTGTTTTGATAGATATCTTTGAATTTGAACTTTTTTTTGTCGCCGTAAGAACCATCCTTGGACTTCAACGAACATCTTGAAAAAAGAATTGGCCAAATTGATCCAGGAGTTGTTGAGTTATGCGCTTACCAACACGTTTTGCGATTCATTTTTATATTATAGATAGATATGAATACTACACACGAAACATGCTTATATACATATACAAACATAATATGAACATGTTTATTACATATTAATATGTAGTATATAAATACGTTATTTAAACATGAATAGAATGTTTGCATATGTATAAAAACATACTTACAACATGTCCACTACTATTAAACATTAAAATCGTGAACCATTAATTTAACAAATTGGCAAAGCCCCATCAAAACAATGTTTCTATTGGATTTATAGTGTAGGTGGGGAGCAAATTAGGACTCACTTGATGTAATTTATACTTTACTGTTCAACAAAACAACTTTGCACAGAGATTGATCAACGTAACTCACTTAAATCACAATTTTACATCTGAGCGCGAGCGTTGCCGTTTCGAATGTCTGGCGGCCATTCGTCAACGGCGACGCTCGCGGACAGCGTCGGAAGGACGCCTTTGGGCTGCCAGCGCATACCGCTACGCTATAGATTTCAGTAAAAAAGGGGACCCTGATAAAAGAAATAAAAAAAACATTTTTACAAAATTGATGTGCTTACGTATTAAGCTTACCTACCGATACTACTCTGGTGTTTTTTTTTTTGCAAACGAGCAGACGGATTATCTGATGGTAAGCAATCAACGCCGCCCATGGACGCACGCAACACCAAAGGAGTTTCGAGTGCGTTGCCGGCCTTTTGGGGATTTTGGTTTCGGATGTTTAAGGGTTGTGAAGCATAGAGGAGGGGAAGGATTGAGAATCTGGTACCACAACTCACACGACGAACGATTTGGTTGTTACACGCCGGAAATATTGTTGATGATAAAAGTCAAAACTAAAAGTCAAAGTCAAAATCATTTATTCCAAATAAAACATGAACAGCAATTTTTGAAACATTAAAATATACCTAATATTATTACAGTCTATCAGGCAGTTCGTCAGGAACCTAGGTGCTCCGGTGCTCCGTATCGACGCAGTCATACCACGGCCGACCACAGGCGTAAAACCACGATTGCGTTTTGTTTTGCCGTATGAGTGAGAGAGATCTAATACATCCCTCACCCACTCATCCCCACTTCCCAGATAATTTTTTAAATCTCCAACAACCATGAAACGGCCAGCAACGTACTTGTTACTCTTAGTTTCCACTACTTATAGGTACCATATGAAACAATAAATTTATTTAATCCATAAAACGGCACTTTTACTAGTCTACATTATTTGCAAAAAAACTAGATAAAGCCATATGGTATTGCTTCATCTAGTTTCAAAGCCCTCCTGAGACAAGCGCTGGGCGTTGAGGCAGCTGGACCGGGAGCTGTTCCTAGAAGCCGCAGTCGTGCGGGCCTGGATGATACCACCTTATCCTGTCCTAGATGGACGTTAACGAGGAAGCAAGATGGCTCCAGGACGACATCTATCTACTATACTATCTATAAACCAGCATAATTCCACTGAACTACAAAAAAATTAATAGCCATTGTCTAAAAAGTAAAACACACATTAAAACAAAAGTTTTTATAACATTTTGACACGCGGAAACGTGTGGAAAATGTAAATTTTGCACTAGCGAGCAACCCTTTCGCCGTGCACATAAAACTTTGTAATTGGTTTACGAGTGTTGCTCTTTGTTACCAACATTTTCTGCATGCTGGCTCGCTGTCACAATCGTCATTTAAGTTTGATATGTTTTTGTACCAATCGTGAAGGGAAAACGTATTGTACGCAAATATAGTTCTGCTTTTACAAACGCCAAAGTTAAATCGATTTTTTTATCTCTGTATTATGTAGCTAGGATTTTCTCCTGTGTGGGTGCGTTTACAAACATACAATGTCATATACACATCACACCCAGACCCGGAACAACAATCTGTGGATCACACAAAGAGTTGTTCCGTGCGGGAATCGAACCCGCGACACGTTGCGAGGCAGCCAGTTGCCTAGCCACCGCGCCAACCGTGCAGTCATAATAGTCATAATTTCATATACACATCACACCCAGACCCGGAACAACAATTTGTGAAGATAGAAATTAATTTTCAAAAGGGTTTCATATCAAAACTTTTTGTTTGGAGAGCCAAAAAGATGAGACGCTATGTTGAGGTATTTTTTTTGTGAGGAGAATATCATCAATTACTTCTTCCGCCCAGGATAGGGCGGGAGGGAGTGACAGACTCTTACTGACTAAACAGCCCCCTGTTTCTTCTCCTGCTCTGGGCCGAGGTCGCGGTGCCTCATTGCGCTTACCCCGCAACCCCGGCTGATGTTGATGTAGGGAAAAACAAAAAAAAAGACTTAGTTAACAAAAGCAAGTGAGTACTTTATTTGAAAAACATGAACAAAGAATTATGGAAACAGATCTTGATACGATAAGGTTTTCTATTTAAATGGTCGTACAGAATTAGTAAATTATGATAATAATGCGAAGTTTGTACTCTAGCGAGCATAATCAGCTTAAGGAGAGACGATCCTGATTGGTACACGGACGCACACGACGGGAGAGTTGCTCTGGTCCACAATGCGGAACTCCACTGTGACCTCAGTGCCCTGAAAAAAGAGAGAGATATTTAGAATCATCACCAGCATTATACTGTGACCATTAAAGCCAGCTGCGAACGGTCTAAAATTGAATGCAGAAGCTCGTTCTGCTTGACATTGATGAAACTGATACTGTATGGGTTGCTGACTGGATGTAGCGCACACAGCTTGAGATGTGGATAGGAAGAAATCACTGATAGTCAAAGAATATTTGTATATACACAGGTTTTGTCTTTTTTTTTTAATTCGTTGCCCCACACTAGGATTTTCTCCTGTGTGGTGGGTGCGTTTACAAACATACAATTCCACATGCACATCACACCCAGACCCGGTACAACAATTTGTGGATCACACAAAGAGTTGTTCCGTGCGGGAATCGAACCCGCGACACGTTGCGCGGCAGCCAGTTGCCCAGCCACCGCGCCAACCGTGCAGTCAGCTTGGCTAACAAGTAACTAATTCTATCTATTTGAATGTAGTGTGTACTGCTGTATATGTGTGCTGAATGTACACTGGCGACTTATAACAAAGATTTGAGTAAAGCAATGTAAAAGTGCTGATGTGAATGAGCGCGTGCCATGTACGATACATGACTTGTACAGATACAGGAAAAGCAAGTAGGTATGTCAATATAAGCTCAAAAAACAAAAGCAAATCTAATTACACATACACTAGTGTTACACTGTTCTCACATAATGGAGCTATCTAAATTATGTAACAATGTATTGTAAAAAGTGATTGAAAAAGAGTAACCATGGAGTTTCTTGCTCGTTCTTCTCCATAGGAATCTACACTTTGGAACGAGCAAATAGCTTCACTAGAGGACAGACGGACAGACTGACACATAAAGTTAAACCTTATGATATCTTTTCTGCTTGACGTTCAAAAGTGCCTTTTTTGGTCTATTTGAAATAAAGAATTTGATTTGATTTGATTTGATTTGATTTGAATTTTCTAGATAGAGATCATACTGCTGCGAAAGTTAGTATGGTCGACTCACCACTGGGAAGAAAGCTTCAATGAACATCCTGAGGGTGTAACGCAGGGTCTGGCCAGATGATACGGGGCAGGAAGCGTTGGTCAGATGGTTGCAGGTCACAGAGTTTGCTCCCAAGTCATATGGGACGGGTACAGTTGCGGATCCAACCCTCATGTATGCCGTGGCGAGAGTCCTCATGCTGGTCATACGGCGAGCTGTTGGGATAACACAAGTAGTTGTCAGCTCGACTGGAGTGATACCAGGGCCTCACAGAAAACCAGCGATACGAGACCACAGCGTTGTGGGGTCATCGTGTGAGTGAGATTACCAGAGATCGGTGATTTGGAGTTTTAGCTCCAAATCTCGAACACTCGTAGCTCATCTATTGTTGCGTGGTTCCATGGGCGGCGCTGATTGCTTACCATCAGGTAATCCGTCTGCTGATTTGACTCCTATCAAATACTGCTAAAAGAACAGTAACATTATAAAGGATCTGTTATAGAATTTTGGACATCAACTGACGAAGCCATTACTTTGTGTAAGAAAACTTACGGGCCACGAACTCCATGTTGATGATAGCATCCCGCAGCTGCGGCAGTGCGCATGGTGGTCTGGTGCATCCCTGGATGTGGGTGTTGCGGGGCAGAGCTCCCGCGTTGTGCTGACCTGTCACATATAAAAACAGCTATAACTAATTGATGATGTTAATGCATTTTTGTGAAAGCCAGTTAGTTACTTTATTATGATATAACTAGCTTCGGCCCGTGGCTTCGCCCGCGTAGTATGTTGATGAAAAGTAGCCCATGCCCTATTCCGGAATGTATCCTATGCCTGTGCTAAATTTCATCCAGATCTGTCCAGCCGTTTTGGCGTGATTGAGTAACAAAAATCCAAACATCGTAACTTTCACACTTATAAGTATAGATATGCACCTTGTTCCATGAAAATTTTTGTTAATTTTCGGGAGAATAATAGGTATACGAGAAGTAATAGTAATACGAAAGAGTGTGATAAAGAATCAATTCAAAAGACAACTTTAGAAGGAACTTACATATGTAAAGCAATAAACAGAAATAAACAAATTAATGAAAAAGAAAACGACTAACTTTTAAACTTTCGCGTTTCATATTTACAACATACGTATAATTACGCGGGTATTAACGCGAAAAGTATTTATTGAAATGTCTTAGTAGGCTTGACGTTTCGACCTGGTTGCAGTCTCAGTCTGCTTTTGACCACGACCTTTGCAACCAGGTCGAAACGTCAAGCCTACCAAGGCATTGCAATAAATACTTTAATCCAATACTTTTTGCGTTAATACCCGCATAATTATATGTTGTAAAAAAAACGACGACAATGATGAATATAATAAAAATAATATAAAAAATATGAAGAAAAAAGAAAATACAGAATATTCTTAATTCAAATACTTGACTTTGACTGCACGGTAGGCGCGGTGGCAATTGGCTGCCGCGCAACGCGTCGCGTGTCTAGTACCCGCACGGAACAACTCTTTGTGTGATCCACGAATTGTTGTTACGGGTCTGGGCGTGATGTGTATGTGAAATTGTGTGTTTGTAAACGCACCCACGACACAGAAGAAAAATGCATAGTGTGGGGCAACATTTTAAAAAGAAATACTTTAAAAGTAACTTACACTGGCTGACTTGAGTCGTGTTGGCTGCCGCAAGGGCGAGAAGAGCGGAGAACAGAGCGATGAAACGGTACATCTTGTCTGTTAATGAAGACGAATGCATTCATTCATTTAATTTTAGTATTTATACCATTTCATTATCTCTTTATCAAGAATAATGCAGGTGTGTAATTTATATTAAAAGCTTTGATAAGAAATCTATGAAATGATTTTTCATCGGACCACTAATAATTGATCATTTATAAACTGATTTAAAGATAATTAACGATTGCCTATACAATCATTACATATTAAGAGATTACTTGTGATCGTTTTTTATTCTAATCCTTGGATTACAATTGTGTATGTGTCATATAAAAAAAGTTAGTTTAGTAGCTGATTTTTCTATAATGAGATAAATGTTATCTGAGGAATAAAACTGTCTTATGCAAACATTCTGACGCGACAGCATCATAATTATTCCCCAGGTAACTTTTATCTAACCATTGAAAAGTCAGCCCTCAAACTTGTTAATTCCCTAAAATATTGGTAACGTATATGCATTACGGGTGTCTATGGAAGGCTTTGATTGCTTACAATGGTAAGCTGATAATCAGAGGACTGATGAGAAAGTCAAATACACCACTGTAGATATTTTTTAACCTGATGGTAAGCAATCAGCCCCGCCCATGGACTCCCGCAACGACGAAGGACTTCGGAGTGTGTTGCCAACCTTTTTGGGGATTAGGGATTTGGAGATTTTGGGAATGAGGACGGATTGGGGGCCTCCGGTAACCTCACTCAAACGGCAAAACACAACGCTATGGTTGTTTTACGCCGGTTTTCTGTGAGGCCGTGGTATTTTTCCGGTCGAGCCGACCCATTCGTACCGAAGCATGGCTCTCCCAGACTTAAATTAAATTTTATAATACCTTGAATATTGTTACTTGTGTCTACAAATAAAATGATTGATTGACTAATCCCAAAATAAAAAAACTATAATTTTGTAATATTCGTACTGCAGCGATTTTGACATTTTTGAAAGAACCTGGCGTCTTGACACTGCTTACAGACCAAAAATGATAAAACAAGCAATTTAGTTCAAAGGTCCATTTTAAGTTTAGAAGATTAGTTACTTAATAAGTATTATATACGAATATGTATAATTGGTAAAAAAAGATGCGCTGTAAGATTATCGGAATTAATGATATTAATGCCGAGTCGAGCCTTACTTACTTGTTGTATGTATTGAAAAATATTTCAGAAATTTGTATCAGAATCAAATAATATTTCAACAATAAAATCATAAAGCTCCGTCCGCATTAGAACGCAGCACTTCCCACGTTGTGAACAGACCCTTACGATCAAAATATCTTCCGCGCGCGCCTCAAAGAGCCAATAGACCACCACAGACGGGGCCCTATAGGGTTTATGTTCAGCTGGGGTTGCGGGCCAAGCGCAACGAGGCCCCGCGACCTCGGCCCAGAGCAGGAGAAGGAACGGGGGGTTTTTAGCCAGAAAGAGGCTGACACTCCCTCCCGGCCCACTCTGGGTGGGAAAAGTCACTTGAGGATTATCCCCACACATAAAAAAAACGATTAAAATATTGCGGGCAGTTTGACAACTTAAAACTAGAATGTGTGTGCCTCGCTGGTTTTACAGTTGAGGCAAAAACCGCGCGTGGTACAAAACGTGGTGCAGCTTGAGTATTCGAATGTAAAATCTGTTGATAATCCAGGTATTTGACAGACTCTGTCTGATAGCTCAACAGAACAAACTAAATTTAAAATGGATTACAATGCCATTAAAAATTGCAACTTCAAACAAGGTTTGAAAACGCCAATTGACCTTAAGCATGCGTCGGTATTGGTCTTATGATCATTGAACAAAATTCAAAAAAATTATAAAACTAAATTCAATAAATTTCTCGCTGGTGGAAATCGAATCGACGAGGATATTTCTTACAATATTAACAATACACATTAAGTGTGCGAATGGGTTAGCTGCCTTGGAGTAGTGATACCATGGTCCTACAGAATACTGGCGTGAAATAACAGTTAAATTGTGTTTCGCCGTGAGAGTTAGTTTTTTTTATGGTATAAGTCGGTATAAGTGGTAAAAGGTCGGCAACGCACTCGTAACTCCTCCGTTGCGGGTGTTCGTGGGCGGCGCTGATTTCTTACCATCAGGTTATCCGAAAGCTCGTTTGCCGACCTATAACATAAAAAAAATAAGTCGTCGAACGAGCAGACGGATTACCTGATGGTAAGCAATCGGCGCCGCCCATGGTTACTCGCAGGAAGAATGGAGTTACGACTGCGTTGCCGACCTTTTAGGGATTAGGGTTTTGGAGATTTAGGGATTGGGGCGGGGTCTGGGGAGTTGAAGGATCCGGTAACTATTTGCCTGACGTATGCATTGAATACCGAACTACACTCGATAAGCTCAGTTCTTAAACAAATAGCATTCAAACAAAAGTCAGTGTATTTCAGTGTAATTAGATTAATATTTCTACCAATCGAGCAACCTATTAACATTTGCTTCTGAGAATAAGCAATCAGTGTCACCCATTTTTTTACTTGTGAGGGGAAAACTTAAATGACATCTCTCGCCCAGGATGAGATGATAGGGAGTATCAAACTCTAAACTAAAACCTCCCCGTTCATCCTCCTGCACGAGGGCGAGGACTTCATTCCGTTTGCTCCGGCTACCTACCAACCCTGGCTATCCCGACAAGTGATTTGACAGCCTTATCCTTCCCGTTACCTCACATGAAGAAACACAACGAAAGCGTTTATTCTCGCCAATTTTCTACGAAGCTGTGGTCGACCGAAGCAACCGACAAAAGCACCGAAAAAACCAACCCGGTGTTCCTCCAATAACCCATGTGTCTGAGGGGTGGGTATCGCCGAAGCATTCGTCGCAACTCCCCGACGGGTATTGGCCCGCCAGATGGTAAGGCGGGCCCCGTCACCCACTGCGGCCGTCAGCCCGACCGCAGGACTTCACTATGAGGCGCACGCGGAACACGGCGCCGCCGCCTCGAGGCCTGCTGCTGGTCGGAGCTCCTTTTTGCCTTAGTCCACCCCGAGTGCTCCTATTTAAAATAAACTGCATAGCAACAACCCCCAATGAATCAACTGTTGCCAACCATTATTCATAGATACAGAGGCAACTAGAGATAAAAGAATTATAAATAAAAAATAATCATTAATCAATCTAATTTCCGCAGGTGCGATTATATTATTGTTTGTTAACGCAGGTGTCTTGTGCATTGTTCTTATCAGTTACGAAATGAAATCATTTCCTAATGTATAATGTATTGTGTAGTGACCACTTCTTTATCAGAATTTAGTTACATAATAATAGCACAAAGAACAGTATTTGGTTTAAGGTTTTGCCATGATGCTTTGGCCATCGACCCACTAGAAATCATTTTAACATCATCAATAATATTAATATTATGATATACCATCATCATGTTCGCCACGAAACATACCCGAAATAAGTATGGCAGCAACGCACCTCTCACTTATACTCTCAGAAAGTGTAATGACATTTATAAAAAAACACGACTTGGATATATTTTCAAGTAAAATAAGTGTATTTAAAAGAGACATTAATTAAGAGTTTGCCTAATTTTTAATTTTTATAGTTTTATTATGTTTTACCCAATTTCTTAATTTATTTTATTTTTAATTACTTTTAATTGTTAACTCTTTTACTTGAACAACCTAAAAATAATGTTGAGCCTACCTTTAATTTAAGAGCATACACTAACTGTTGTTTCATTTATTTTTAACATTGTCTGTAAGTAGCTTAGTTGGTAAGCCTAAATCAATAAATAAATAAATAAGTAAATGTTGATAGTTGGCAGTCAACAACTGTGCGATTCACGAGAATCTTTCTGCCCCGCACAGCAAAACTTTGGAATGATCTTTCGGCGGCGGTATTTTCGAACCGATAACCTTCTAGAAAGAGCGAAAGAAGGGTGGACGCCTTTGCCCTGTAGTAGGACGATAACGGCTGATAATAATAATAATTACTGACGGCTGTTATGCCATCACATTTAAATTAAAATGGTGGAGCCCGCTTCTCATGCATGAGGGCGTGGTTTCGAAACCTGGCAAGTACCAATATGACTTTTTCCGAGTTATATGTACTTTCTATGATTATTTAGACACCTCTGACATACGGTGAAGGTAAACATCGTGAGGAAACCTGGACTTATAATCTCTAATTATAAGTTTGAAATTGCCAACCCGCATTGAGCAAGCGTGGTGATTAATGCTTAAATCTTCTCCGTGTGAGAAGAGGCCTTTGCTCAGCAGTGGGCACTTATAGGCTGATGATGTGACTACAGGTGTCCATGGACAGCGTTGATTATTTACCACCAGGTGATCCGCCTGCTCATTTGCCTTCAAGGTTTAAAGGTTTTTATCTACGAAACAAAACGATGTTCTTTTTATAGTTCCTGTTCTGTCTTGAGTTTAGTCAAGTGTAGTTAAGCATCGAGAAATATGCCAAGGATAGATAGCTAGCTTTCTTCACTATCACTTTCTGAAACCAATTGAACTGATGGTTGCTGCGTTCCAAGCAATCGAATCTATTAAGCGAATCGGTGGGTAAACTATGGTCAACAAGAAATTCGCAAAACGTAGAATTTATGGCAACATTTCGAATGAATATTGTCAAGTTAGACATATTAATAACGATTTATCATATTTAGCAGATCACTTGTATAACTGTTATTAAAACATAGTATAAAACATAATCAATTTCTCTATCCCCATGTACCTATGTAGCCAATGCTTAAATCTTTAAAACTACGCAACGAAATTTAGTGCGGTTTTTGTAAATAGATAGAGTGATTAAAGAGGAAGGTGTACATGTAAAATAGCATCCTTTAAATAGTGGAGAAATATTGTTTCAGCAACGCACCCGTGCGAAGTCTCTAGTACTTATAAAAATACCTATCCTATCCTAGCAAGCCCTTAAAAAAACCATCAACATTTTACTTGACCTGAGAATCTGATTTGAATAAAAGTAAAAGCAAGCCTTTATTTTTTTCTGACTTCTCTCGCCTAGGGTTTTTTTTGTGAGTGGAAAATCATCAAATGACCTCTCCCGCCCAGAGCCGAGCGGGAGGGAGTGTCAGACTCTTACTTACTAAAACCCTCCCTGTTCCTTCTCCTACTCTGGGCCAAAGTCACGGTGCCTGAATATCAGCCCTATAGGGATCCGTCTGTGGCGGTCTATTGACTCATTGAGGCGTACGCGGAACGCTACGCGCCGTACGCTCGGGCCTGGTTCTGGTCGGGCGGCGAGCTACCCTTACTCGCCGACCGCAGACCCGCGCTTACGGTGGCCGGAGATCGTGAGGAGGAGGAAGGCTCTCGCCTAGGGTGAGACGAGAAGGAGTGACTATTACTGACATAAAACCCTCCTACCGATGCCGAGGCCGAAGCCGCGGTACCTGATTATGCTCGCCCCGCAACCCCGGCTGAACATGATTAAACGACAAAACAAAGAGAAAACACTTATGGCACTTACGGCAAAACAAAAGGAGGGTTATGATTATTGATTTTGACAGGTTATGTATGTATGTATGTTCATCTGTTCCCTCGTAACTTCTAAACTACTTATCAGAATTCGACCATAACGTCTTAATTATCCGCTGGTTTTAAGCTATAAGCTATAATTATGGGGTATCACTCACTATCAATCTAATGTGGCGAAAAAAACTGAATTAAATTCAGATTTCGATTTAGATTTAGATTTAGACAAAAAATTCAGGGTAAAAAAATTAAGCTTTTCATTAGTGTATTCAAGTGAGTAACCCGCGATTTTTAGAAAATTTAATAAAAAGTATAAAATCTAAAACCCAACTACGACAAAAAATGACGCTGAAAAATGTTTAAAACAAGACTTTCAGAATAGTGAAAGGCGTAGTCATACGTTTTCAAAGGTATGGAAGGTAGTAACGTGTATCTTGTTTTATACTTTTTCAGCGTCGTTTTTTGTCGTGTTGGGTTTTATTTAGTTTTTATATTTTTTATTATAAATTGCAAATAGACATGAAATTGTACAGTGTACTCGAACTCGGTAATGTCCCAGAATGTTAGAAGCTAATAATGTCAATTTTGATCCTCATAAAATCTCGAATGTCACTTACAGACAGAAAAAAGCCTTTTTTAGTATTAAGTAAATAGGTGTATTTTTTTCATAGTCTCTGAATGTTTAAACATTTCCTGAACTTCTACGAATATTTCAATGCCAAAATTTATTGAAAAAGCGACTAACGAACAGCAATTCATTTTTATGTAAAAGAAGAATGTGGGATAAAAATGTGTGAGAGAAAATTTAATTGTTTGGCTCACTCACCGAACAATAACCATGGATCATAACATCCCTTCTGATGTTAAGTCTGTCTTTCTTCTGAAGTAAAATCTTTTTATGTATAATTTTTTTTTATGTAATGGGTCGGCAAAAGAGCCGACGGATTACCTGATGGTAAGCAATCAGCGCCGCCCATGGACACCCGAACCGGAGGAGTTACGAGTGCGTTGCCGACCTTTTAGGGATTAGGGATTTGGAGATTTAGGAACTGGGGAGGGATTGAGAAGGGGAAGGATTGGGTCTCCGGTAACCTTACTCACACGGCGAAACACAACGCTGTGGTTGTTTCACGCCGGTTTTCTGTGAGGCCGTGGTATCACTCCGGTCGAGCCGACCCATTCGATTCAATAAAATTAGTTTCCGCTTATTCTATTCTCGAGCGTATCCTATGCCTGTGCTAAATTTCATCCAGATCCGTCCAGCGGTATTGGCGTGATTGAGTAAAAAACATCCAAACATTTGACGGTTGGCGCGGTGGCTAGGCAACTGGCTGCCACGCAACGTGTAGCGGGTTCGATTCCCGCACGGACAACTCTTTGTGTGATCCACAGATTGTTGTTCCGGGTCTGGGTGTGATGTGCATGTAAATTGTATGTTTGTAAACGCACCCACGACACAGGAGAAAATCCCAACAATGTGGGGCAACGCTTTTTTTAAAAAAGAAAAGAAAAAAAAAACATCGTAACTTTCACATTTATAATATGAGTAAGATTAAATTAATTAATTCCTGTTCGCTAGTCTCGCTAAAACTCGGAAAAGGCTGGACCGACATATATCGCGGTCTTATTAACGGTCTTAAAATATTACTGGATATACTGAAAAGGTTTAGATAGCTAAATAAATAAATATTACTTATATTTGAGGCTATACAAAGTTTGCTGACTCAGCTAGTTATACACACACACTATACACATTTCTTATGTCATAAAAGTCACAATGTCGCATTATGATTTTCTCACACTCAGTTCATCGCAACTATTTTTTCTTTGACTGCACGGTTGGCGCGGTGGCTGGGCAACTGGCTGTCGCGCAATGTGTCCACATATGTGAAATTGTATGTTTGTAAACGCACCCACGACACAGGAGAAAATCCTAGTGTGGGGGTCCAACGTTACATTTAAATAAAAAAGGACTTATAAATAAATTGTGAGCGGAATTATCCGAGTAGCAAGTCATGCTTCGGCACGAATGGGTCGGCTCGACCGGAGTGATACCACGGCCTCACAGAAAACCGGCGTGAAATAACCACTGCGTTGTGTTTCGCCGTGTGAGTGAGGTTACCGGAGGCCCAATCCTTCCCCTTCCCCAATCCCTCCTCAATCCCTATATCTTCAAATCCCTAATCCCTGAAAGGTCGGCAACGCACTCGTAACTCCACCGTTGCGAGTGTCCATGGGCGGCGCTGATTGCTTACCATCAGGTAATCCGTCTGCTCGTTTGCCGACCTATTACATAAAAAAAAAAAAGAGTATCGAGAATTATTTTTGTAGGTCGGCAAATAAGCAGATAACCTTACCGTCAGGTAGTCAAAACCTATCAAATAAAAACTAAGGATTTTCTCTTACATCGTAGTACTTATAAGTGTGGGAGAGCCAAGCTTCGGTACGAATGGATCGGCTCGACCGGAGTGATACCACGGCCTCACAGAATACCGGCGTGAAACAACCCCCAGCATTGTGTTTCGTCGTGTGAGTGAGGTTACCGGGAGGCCCAATCCCTCCCCCACCCCTATCCCTTCGCGATCCTTATATCCCCAACCCCTATCCCCAAAAGGCCGGTAACGCACTCGTAACTCCTTTGGTTTTGCGGGTGTCCATGGGCGGCGCCGATTGCTTACCATCAGGTAATCCGTCTGCTCGTTTGCCGACTTATACCATAAAAAATACAAACATCAAATTTTAATATAGCGTCACAAGAAGAGTCTATTTGGGAATCGGAAGCGCGCCAAATCGCACAGCAGTCAAGTCACATAATGACATCGATTGACAGATTTAGGTATACACCTGCAACTGTGACCTCCATTAGATACATGCGTATAGACATCAACTTATCACAATTAAATCTGATAGCAATGCTATATATAAACTCTTCACTGTGGCTTACTTACTCATCGTCTACGGTTCCCTAGCAGACAAGATGTACCGTTTCATTGTTCTGTTATCCGCTCTTCTTGCCCTAGCGGCAGCCAACACGACTCAAGTCAGCCAGTGTGAGAATTTTAATTAAATGTCCTTGATTCTCTGCCTTTGAAATTCGAGTACTTATCACGCACAAAAAAACAAGCTTTTTTGAAACTTACTGGGATTCTGATCGCAAGAGCAGTGATGTAGCGCGGCTCTGAACCGGAGCAGAACAAAGAAGGGGTTGGTTTTGAGTCAAACAGTCTAAACTCCCTCTCACCCCACCCTGGGTGTAAAGAAATGGTCTACATAATAATTATGGCATTCTCTTCAACTCAGACTTTTAGTTTTAGTGAATATCTTAAAAGCGACAGATGTTTCGGGCCAAGTATTAATGCTCTAACTCTGCTTCTTCAATCAACTGTATCTTTCTATATTTGCTACAGGCGTGCACCACCAGGGAGCTCTGCCCCGCAATACGCACATCCAGGGATGTACAAGGCCACCGTGCGCACTGCCGCAGCTCCGGGATGCCGTTGTCAACATGGAGTTCGTCGCGCGTAAGTATCCTTATACTTTAAAATGGTGTCGCAATTATGTCCAGAAAACTTATATAAGTGACTAGCTACTCTCATGCGGTTTCACCCGCTATTCAGCTCCATTTAATCGTAGCGTGATGTTTTATGGCCTAGCACTCAGGAACTAGTTTGTGAAAGAATTTTTGCAATCCGACCAGCGATTCCAAAGATTACCCCTACATACAAACTTACAAATTTTACCTCTTTATTAGTAAATATTAGTATAGATTCAGTATAAGTGTATATATGTGGGATTAAATTTACCGAGGGGAGAGAAATCCACCTCAAATACTATGATTTATTTCGTTGCGGGATCCAAGACAGCCATTGATGTCCAGGGGACGCGCTGGACTCTAGTGTTTCAATGTTTTCATAGTTGTATCTACTGTAGATCCTGGCTTGCAGGGGTGTGATTCTGTAAGACTTCATTGTAAACTTCGAATCTGGGGGTCTACTCTTATTCTACGAAAAACGAACTTTCGATCGAAACTTCGCGTGTTTCCTACCACGGTTTCAATTCGTTCCGAAATTTCGTTCGAACGAAGACGTTTGACATTTAGAACCTACTCTAATCCTTATTAGCTCCGAACGAACTTTTGAATTTGACAGACGATTTTTCGGATTTTTTACTTCAAATTGACGAAACCAAAAGTGTTACCTTTTAATTTTCGTTTAGTGTGGATTTTGTATGAAAATTGTTTGAAATGGCTACAAGAATGCTCTAAATCGAAGCCCTTTACGTGAAGAAAGGAACCGGCGCTGCCTGCGCAATCTACTTAATATACCTAAGTCAAATTCCGGACTTAGAGTTTGTAGGACAGTCGCCTATTATTTGAAGAGCTGTGAGAAACTGAATTTTAGAAAAGTTTTCAAACAAAAAAAAAATAATAATTTATTGTTACGATTAGTTTGCATGTACTTCGATTATTCGGAACGTGCGAAGTGGGTGGAAAGGGTAAAGAAACCGATCGCGGCACAAATATGTAAAAAAGGGCAAGTAAATAAAAACACACTTAAAAAAATAACTGATTTTTATTTCTTAAAGTTCTGCACTTATTAAACAAAAATTTAAAACTTATTATCCTTTTAAAATAAATTTCAATTTTCTAATAGAACAAATATAACAAGGAGTATAATTTTAAACAACTTATTAGCATTTTATATAACATTAAAACAATATCGTTACTGTAACACATCAAAGTACTTATATGAAGCTAACATAAAATGAACATTATTTACCATATACTGCTCAAAATAAAAATATCACACATTGTCATCCCAGCTACATACATTTGTAACTGAACATAAGTGTAATATGAATGGCTTTGTTTTAACTCTATTACATTATTTTATAAAAATATTAAGTTTATTAACATTGCATACATTTTTATCAAATTCAACGACAGTTTTCTTTTCAAATGTAGATAATTGGACATTTATACTCGGAATTTTAATTCCATTCCAGATTTGACAATTTCAGTGTTGCAACGTTATGACACGTAATAAATAGTGACGCTGCGAAATTATTCGATATGGAAATCGAATATTTCTGAATCGATTCCTCTCGTTTATAAATTTACTCTCGTAAACTAAGTTTATCAAGAAATAAAATATTTCTGAACCGATAATTTAGTTTTGACAATTAATTAACGATCTGAGACTTTTCTTTTGTAATTGTGTGTGAAATTAATAAAAAATATGATCATGAAGGAACGTGACAAATAAAACAGACATTTTATAAATTGTCGCCGTCATCGCTATCGCTATCGCCGTTACTCTATGTAACATTTATTATGAATTGTGTCTTTGATATTTATTGTCAATTAACATATCTAGCTTACTCATTTATTCCTCCTCTTTGAAAACATGAGATACATATTTAGACCATTCGGTAGCCGTAATTTTTTGAATGCGTTCCTGAAACTAATTTACTGATTGTTTATCGATTTTTGTGTTCATCACTACACTGTTATATGTGGTATCATTATTTCACAAAATGACAGTGGTCAATGTCAAATCAGGAATCGAATTAAAAGTCTGACTATAGCTTCGACTCGCTTTGTCACACAGTCTTCTTCCACCACTTCACAATCAATATTAACGCACAGCCATATTATTATTCGCATTAATTCTTTGTTTTTCCATATCCCTCACATGTTCTGCTAACACCAATTTTACATTTTAGCACAGTCTGAGGTTGGAAAATGATTGTGTGTTTATAACACTCAAAACCTGTTTTTATAATAATATCCATTTCTTATACAATTCAATAAAATTCCTTTCTCCACATATATTTATTGTCTTTTATAGTTTATTTTATTAACTCGTGTTGATAAAAATAAACAATCTGTTGACATTCATTTTTTGACACATGTCGTGCACGGTCCGAATACAGCCATTTTTGGTCGCCATACATAACAACCCTTTCTTGGCATGAAATAGTACTCTTTAAATTAGTCGGTTATAAATGTCTGTAAAAGAGTGTTTTATAAGGTAACGATGATAAATTACACGATAAATTACAATTCCGTCAAAAATAAATATATTTTTATTTTCTGCGTGGAATATTATAAGTAATAGTTTTACAAACCACATACATAATGTGGAATTCAAAGAAACAGCCAGAGAATTTGTAATTTTAACTTTAAGTAAAAACCGTAATTTACCACAAATCACATTATAAAGAACCTACACAATTACATTCGTTCACGAAAATTATCTCTGGATCGAACTTCGTATGCGTGTCCGGAAATAAAACAGAGTAGGGTCGCCAACGTTCTTTCGTTCGAGTTTCGTTCGTTTCCGAAAGTTTCGTTTCGAAGAAAGAGAGTAGACCTCCTGAATCCGCTGTGAGTATTAGTACACTAGCGCTACACTTGCGAGTTGAACTAAATTGACAGCAACATTTTGATAGATAAAGTATGGGATGACGTTAAAAGTGACAATCTAAAATTTAATTTCCCCGTCACTTCGACGCCCACTTCGCACTCGAACACGATTCAAAATCAAACAAATTTTATAGAATCGACGTGCAGGAGTTGTAGCGATTTAAGGAGGATGTGGCGTGCCTGTTCCAAAAACAAAACTGATGCAGTGTATTAATCGATATTAAAACTACTTTACCCTACAGCTCGTCGAATGACCAGCATGAGGACTCTCGCCACGGCATACATGAGGGTTGGATCCGCAACTGTACCCGTCCCATATGACCTGGGAGCAAACTCTGTGACCTGTAACCATCTGACCAACGCTTCCTGCCCCGTATCATCAGGACAAACTTTACGTTACGCTCTCAGGATCTTCATTGAGGCCTTCTTCCCTGTGGTGAGTACTTGTAGTAATTGTATTGCTAAACTCCCCATAAGTATGATCTCCCGGTGGAACTTGTCGCTTTATTAGATACTAGCTACTCTCGCGCGGGTTCAACTGCTGCTCGGATCCATTTGGTCGTAGCGTGATGTTTTATAGCCTATAGCACTCAGGAACATTGTAGCTATCTATCAGTGAAAGAATTTTGGGAATCCGGTCAGCGGTTCCAAAGATTACCCCCTACATACAAACTTACAAATTTTACCTCTTTATAATATTAGTATAGACTAGCGACCTGTCTTGGTCTCGCATGGGTGCAATTCTGATACCAAATTCCTTCATTATTTAATGGATGTCATGTTATTATACGTATATACCTTCCCCTGCAATCATTCTACCTATTTAAAAAAACGCCTGAAAATTCTATATATAATTTTAAAGATTTAAGCTTAGATAGTGACATAGGGACGGAAAAAGCGACTTTATACTATTCAGTGGTGCATCAACTGTTAAATATGAGGCACTGGCTTGAGCCCTTACTTGTGTCGCCATATTGCTTAAATTCGTTTTAATATATTTGATGTCAAGCAGACCAAGACTCCCTTTGCTTAGTCGGCACTTGACCTGAATGGTCGCATTGCGAAATGCTAATTATATTCTTTCTTATACCACTAAACAAGGAAATTTCTATCCACTGAATCTCGGGTATTGGATTTCAAGGACATCAATCTGAGAAGCATCTAGATACTTTTTAAGCTAAATAATCCAAACTACTCTGTTTGTCTGTCTGTCTGTCTATCTTTGTGAAACTATTTATGTGAAATTTGGTACAGACATAGTTTGGAACTCGAGTTATTATATGTTTTAGAGAGTAAGTATTATACTGATACTCAATCTGTGATTTGCAGGGCACCGAGGTCACTGTGGAGTTCCGCATTGTGGACCAGAGTAACTCTCCCGTCGTGTGCGTCCGTGTACCACTCAGAATCGTCTCTCCTTAGTTAGAACTTCTGTAGTTCAAACCCATTGTTCGATGCTCAATTATTTTCGTCGTCTTTTAAGCTGTGTTTGACAATAAACGAAATTTGATATTTACATTTGGGTCTTTTATTCCACTTAGGGCTGATTTTTCAATGGTTAGGTAAAAGTTGCCTGGGGAATAATTATGATGCTGTCAGAATGTTTGTATAAGACAGTGACAGCAACAATTTTATTCGTCAGATAACATTTATCAGACTGTTGAAAAATCAGCCCTTAACAGCAACGCTAAAATAGGAAGATTATTTTGATGTGTTTGTATGTACATCTGTCTTGTCTAAAAAATTCTGAGGTTTAAAAGAAGTCACTACAATATATACACTATTACTATTTAACACTTCCTATAAAGGTCGTGGTGATATGGGGATTAAGGCGCCCGCTTCTCATGCGAGTGAGAATTGCAAACCTGGCAATTACCAATGTAACTTTTCTTGGTTAAATGTACTTTCTAAGTAAATTTACACACATCGTTAGGAAAACCGCAATTTATAATTTCAAATTATAAGTTTGAAATCACCAACTCACTTTGAGCAAGCTTAGTGATTAATACTCAAACCTTCTCCGTGTGAGAAGAGGCCTTTGCTCAGCAGTGTAAACCAATAGGCTGAAGATGAGATACATCTGTCATCTTTTACGTGTATTTACTTATGACAAATCTAAAGCCAGTAATTATTATTATCTATACTAATATTTGTAAGTTTGTATGTAGTGGGATCTTTGGAACCGCTGTTCGGATTGCCAAAATTCTTACACTGATTGATAGTTACAATGTTCTTGGGCGCTATAGGCTATAAAATATCGCGCTACGATCAAATTGAGCCGAGCAGCGGGTGAAACTGCGCGGGAGTAGCTAGTGTAACATAATTTTGATAAAAGTCTTATGACGTGGTAGCTCTCTTTAACGAGGGTGCGGGTTCGAAACCTGGCAAATAGCAAAGTGACTTTTTCCGAGTTATGTGTACTTACTTCCTATCATTATTTAGACACTACTTACATACGGTGAAGGAAAACATCGTGAGGAAAACTGGACTACGAGATAATAATTCCTAATAGTAAGTTTGAAATCGCCAATCCGCCTTGAGCAATCGTGGTGACGGAAAATGTTTGATCATTATCAAACCTTTTCCGTGTGAGTAGAGGTCTTTGCTCAGTAGTGTGCACTTATAGGCTGATGTGCAATCATAGTCATTGCTCTACCTATGGCAAGAGAAGCCATTTGATGACTTTCTCCGCAAAAAAATCAGTCACCCCTAAACCTTTTTTTTTCAGGCTACTTTAAAATTATATTATTTACTTTAATGGTTGCAAGCATTAGTGTCTGTGTCAATAAAGTTAGCGGAGGCCTATTCCTACCTTCCCCCGTGTCCAAACCAATCCTTAAATCTCTATTCATGCCCGCAACGAACTTTAACTCTTCTGGCTTTATATTACGTGATCCACGTACTTCCTGGAGAAACTGGATGTGAATAAAACAACTTGTTCCTTTTTATTATAACTTTCGTGAGACATTGTAAATTAATTATTGTGTTTTCGGCTTACTCACGTAATAATTTGACGAGATACACACATAGCGAATGGCTCGATTGACTGCTCTGAGCTCGTTTCAAAACTGGCATTTCGAACTAACCTTATTGGGTTGCGTCGGAGGCCCCTCCTGAGCGTGCCTTCTACCCACACTAATTATAGGCGTAATGCTTATCTTCTTAGAAGCGCTCGTTGCTTTAATGAATTGTCTCGAAAGCATGATATTTATTTATTTTGCACTAAGACAAATATAACATATATAACAAGTAAGTAGCAAGAAAACTTTTAGCCAAATCATTCTTTGCGAATAAAGCACTGGCTGGTGGTACTCAAATGCACGTATAGCAACGTAAAATTAAATAATAATAATAATAAGCCCGCAGGGCACCTTGAGGCGAGGTGACGGGAATTAGCGATCCCGCGGGCTACCATCATCCCGATTGCTCCAGGGAGGAGTCACCGTTCCTTATCTCCAGCTTGCCTTCATTGGTTGGCCGGAGTGAACGATGACGAGGAATAGGTCTCCCACCTCTGGCTTGCCTTCATTGGCCGTCCAGAGTGGAGTCGCGAGAGTAGTGATCCTGCTCGGAGGGTGGAAGCTGTTCGTAAGCGGCGAGTGGGCCAGTGATGCAGGATGCTTAGGCAGATGCAGATGATCTGAGTAGAAAGCTGGTGGCAGTTTCTTCACCCTTCAGCCACTCACATTTCCGTTGTCCCTCTGTTGCTATTACTAGCAACTATTCCCGGGGGCCCGGTCGGTGAGTTGGCGAGTCTCCGCCTGCCATTTTTACGTGTATTTATTACATTGTTTCGGCAGGTGCCATAGTCCTTCCATAGTTCCCATCCTACTAGCCCATAACAACCCACACCCATAGCCTTGTATTTTGTTTCCATTATCCGCAATAGTCCTACACTAACCGGGGACTGTCCTTGCGTGCATTTCAATAGTGCATACAGAGATAGTCGCCGGTTTGTGTCCCATTTCATTTAGATTAAAGTTGTCTAAAGGGCCTCTGCGCAGTTGGCTCCGGCCCCTCGTACGCCTTCCAAATGACCGGGACCCTGTGGTCCCGTGATTGGTAGAGACATACATAATAATAATAATTAAAAAAAACAACTTCAACATTCAGGCATTACTTAATCGTTGATATTATTATATATCTGTGGAGGCTTGTCATTAGCAACTTAATTATATATTTTTGTTAGGTACCTATTCTGTCATTAGTCTGTAAGCCTTCTTAAAATGAATAAAATAAAAAAAAAGATACTCGACTAGTTTCAAGCCATGCTATTTATTAAGGAGAATAAATAAAATAAAACTACGTAATAATTCACTTTTATATTTTTATTTTACAGTGTATTTTATTATGTTTGTGTATATGGAATTTTCGTTTCTGTATGGGCGTTGTCATAGTTATTGAATTCAATTTTCATCAATGATTTTTGGGGTTTTACATTCGTGAATATTGTTACATTAAATTGCAATAAATAAAACACATGAAGAATTTGTCATTACAACACACTAGACGATAATAATTTCACTAAACCTTTTGTCGGATTACTGGCACTAGAGCATAAAATAGGATTTGCTATTAAAACCATAAGGTGTATTAATTATTTATTTATTTATTTATAAAATAAAAAAAGAGAAGATATAAATAATAATGATTTATTTATTAAGGAAAATAAATAAAATAAAACTACGTAATAATTCACTTTTATATTTTTATTTTACAGTGTATTTTATTATGTTTGTGGAATGTACGTTTCTGTAATATATATTCTGTATAATTGGGTAATAATATGGTAGCACTTTACTTTGAAGCGGCCCGGTTAAAACAGGCGGTAATGGTGGTAACTTGAACATACATAAAGATAGATATTATAATCACACATACCTACTATGAGTGCTATTTTTTATAGATTTAAATACAAGTAGATATATAAAATAATGAATTAAAAACAAAATGCTTACCACATTAATAGTATTTTGTGATATTAGGCCAGTCAGCAATGGAGAGTCCATACTGACATAATGGTGTCTTATTTTTCGAACCGATTTTCCACAACCAAGGCAAACCATGTTATGCCCCAGTAGTCTCTCATGTTCACCAGCCTCAGTATTCAATAATGAGAAGCATGGTTGACAAATGAATATCTCCAGAGGCAACTGAAAAAAAGATGCACTATTTAAGTAAAATCGCATACCATTACAAAACATAAAAAAAATTATACTATTCCGACTTCATACCTGGGTTTGACCATTGGTTAACAAACGCGAAAGTATTGTTGGATGGTGTGCGAGGATATAAGACGCCTGTGCAGTATTTGTACGCCTATTCCGCATTTGATGCACCTCATCGTAATCCACAAAACAAATCCAAAACGCAAAATAGTCCAGTACTCCAGTATTATTAGCAAGGTTAACAGAAACTCGCTGTCAAAAGTGTCAAACACGTTCCATTTCGTTTAAGTTTTTTTTGGTGAATTGAATAAAAATTAAAACATAATATTATTATAATACGAGTATTTTATAAATAATGCAACTAAAACCAATAAATACAGTTTCGTATGAATAAATTGTTCCTAGTGTAATGCATTTGTCGATCATATCACACGTTTTCTACGTGTTTAGTTTAAGACACGTGGTTTGGAATTGGAACGTCTTTTTATTTATCTTTCTCTATGGACTATTATGGCGAAGCTTGACAAACGATAAGTTGAATTCACATGCATTATTTTTACATTTTTTTTATAATAATTGTCAGGTCTGGAGAGGCTAAAACCTACGTAATAATTCATATTTCTATTTTTATTTTACAGTGTATTAATTATGTTTGTGTACGTGGAATGTACTTTTTTGGCCATGTCCTTTGTACATGAAATATAAAATTAGCTGTGCCCGCCACTCGTGCGCTTGGTTATGGGTATGGAAGTGGATATTATCTTTACCGGAAGCCCAATCCTTCACCTCCCCCAATCCCTCCTCAATCCCTAAATCTCCAAATCCCTAATCCCTAAGAGGTCGGCAACGCACTTGTAACTCTTCCGTTTAGGGTGCTTGTGTCCATGGGTGGCGCTGATTGCTTACCATCAGGTAAACCGTCTGCTCGTTTGCCGATCTATTACATAAAAAGTTCAGAGTCTCCAGCATTTCTTGGTAAGCTTAATCTTTGAACTGCCGGATCTCTGCCCTTTTTTCAGGAGAAAATCATCAAATGACTTCTCCCGCCCAGGGTAAGGCGAAAAAGAGTGTCAGATGCTTGCTGAATAAAAACCCCCCGTTCCTTCTCCCGTTTTAGGCTGAGGCGGTAGTGCCACATAGCGCCTACCCCGCAACCTCTATGGTGGTCCATTGGCTCCTTGAGGCGCACGCAGAACGCTACGCGCCGTACGCTCGGGTCTGGTTCTGGGCGGGTGGCGAGCTACTCTAACACGCCGTCCGCAGAACCACGCTTACGGTGGCGGAAGATCGTCTCTCGATCCCGGACGCCCGGAGTGTCTGTTGGAGCATGAGCAGGACGACAGGTCCCTGATGCGGTATCATAGGAGACAAACTGAAATCATACGAGCTGAGCCGAAATCATACGAACTGGGTAACTAATTTAATTTCTACAAACTGGATGACGCGTGATGTATGTTAAGCTTTTTCTGGTAATATTGGATTGTGTAAACCAATTTTAATAGTTAATGCTTTTTTTAGAAAGAAGATACGTGCAGGATATATTCTGTGACCTTTGACCTTAATTTTTGAGAGATGCGGACACCTAACAGTACCTATGTAGGTTTTGAGGCAAGTTTTAGGATGTCTAAATAAAACTTTATTAAATTGAAAGGTTTGAGAAAGGTCTCTTGTGGTTATGGACAATGCACACAAACAAATAAAGCACCATGTCAAGCTTAAAAGTTGATATTAAATATTATGATTAAGTGGTTGCAAGAAAAGGGTATTCAGTTTGAGGAGACCTGGACAAAAGCCGTTTTGTTAAAGTGAATATCGTTAAAGATATTAAAATCAGATCGAACCATAATTTCAACTTCATTATTTATATATTTAATGTTAAGTTGAACTTTTGGGGAGTCTTAAACAGTGAAGTTGGCAACATTCTGTGACTAACCGGCAGCGCCGCGTCTGGTGTCTTGTTGATGGTGTCTTGTTCTCCATCTCCGGTTAGTCCTCGTGACGAGCTCGAATGAAAACTGATGAAGAACAAGCCTTTCTACCTCATTCTTGCCCTAATTAGCTGGCTTGAGTGGAGATTCGCAAGAGTAGGAGTTGAAGGAGACTCAGGGGAAGGATGTGTGTCAGTTAGGTGCTGGTAGGGGTCTTGACCATACATCTGGGATTGCTCTGATAGCCGTGGGATGCCTCTCCTTCCCCAAGCAGCTCAACGTATGTTGCCCCCTTGTCGCTACATGCTAGCGGCCGTTTTCGGGGGCCCATTAATTGAGTTTGCCAGTCACCCCCTGCCTGTTTATCCGTATGTATCAATATTGGTCAGGGTTTGAGGCAAGTTTTAGGATGTCTAAATAAAACTTTATTGAATTGAAAGGTTTGAGAAAGATCTCTTGTGGTTATGGACAATGCACACAAACAAATAAAGCACCATGTCAAGCTTAAAAGTTGATATTATTATGATTAAGTGGTTGCAAGAAAAGGGTATTCAGTTTGAGGAGACCTGGACAAAAGCCGTTTTGTTAAAGTGAATATCGTTAAAGATATTAAAATCAGATCGAACCATAATTTCAACTTCATTATTTATATATTTAATGTTAAGTTGAACTTTTGGGGAGTCTTAAACAGTGAAGTTGGCAACATTCTGTGACTAGACGGCAGCGCCGCGTCTGGTGTCTTGTTGATGGTGTCTTGTTCTCCATCTCCGGTTAGTCCTCGTGACGAGCTCGAATGAAAACTGATGAAGAACAAGCCTTTCTACCTCATTCTTGCCTTAATTAGCTGGCTTGAGTGGAGATTCGCAAGAGTAGGAGTTGAAGGAGACTCAGGGGAAGGATGTGTGTCAGTTAGGTGCTGGTAGGGGTCTTGACCATACTTCTGGGATTGCTCTGATAGCCGTGGGACGCCTCTCCTTTCCCAAGCAGCTCAACGTATGTTGCCCCCTTGTCGCTACATGCTAGCGGCCGTTTTCGGGGGCCCATTAATTGAGTTTGCCAGTCACCCCCTGCCTGTTTATCCGTATGTATCAATATTGGTCAGGGTTTGAGGCAAGTTTTAGGATGTCTAAATAAAACTTTATTGAATTGAAAGGTTTGAGAAAGATCTCTTGTGGTTATGGACAATGCACACAAACAAATAAAGTACCAACCATGTCAAGCATAAAAGTTGATATGCTTAAGTGGTTGCAAGAAAAGGGTATTCATTTTGAAGAGACCTGGACAAAAGCCGTTTTGTTAAAGTGAATATCGTTAAAGATATTAAAATCAGATCAGATATTTAATGTTAAGTTGAACTTTTGGGGAGTCTTAAACAGTGAATTTGGCAATATTCTGTGACTAGACGGCAGCGCCGCGTCTGCGGGACTTCTTTCGTGAGACGGACTCTACATTGTATTGCGTAAAAAATGTTCAACCAATAGTATAATGTAATTATAACCAATAGTAATATAGTATAAGTATAATAATAATAACCAATAAATCCGCAAGGCAGCTTATAGGGAGCTGTTGGGCAGTGGCGACTCCACGAGGCTGACTCCCGGGAGTTGTCTTGTTCTCCATCTCCGGTTAGTCCTCGTGACGAGCTCGAATGAAAACTGATGAAGAACAAGCCTTTCTACCTCATTCTTGCCTTAATTAGCTGGCTTGAGTGGAGATTCGCAAGAGTAGGAGTTGAAGGAGACTCAGGGGAAGGATGTGTGTCAGTTAGGTGCTGGTAGGGGTCTTGACCATACTTCTGGGATTGCTCTGATAGCCGTGGGATGCCTCTCCTTTCCCAAGCAGCTCAACGTATGTTGCCCCCTTGTCGCTACATGCTAGCGGCCGTTTTCGGGGGCCCATTAATTGAGTTTGCCAGTCACCCCCTGCCTGTTTATCCGTATGTATCAATATTGGTCAGGGTTTGAGGCAAGTTTTAGGATGTCTAAATAAAACTTTATTGAATTGAAAGGTTTGAGAAAGATCTCTTGTGGTTATGGACAATGCACACAAACAAATAAAGTACCAACCATGTCAAGCATAAAAGTTGATATGCTTAAGTGGTTGCAAGAAAAGGGTATTCATTTTGAAGAGACCTGGACAAAAGCCGTTTTGTTAAAGTGAATATCGTTAAAGATATTAAAATCAGATCAGATATTTAATGTTAAGTTGAACTTTTGGGGAGTCTTAAACAGTGAATTTGGCAATATTCTGTGACTAGACGGCAGCGCCGCGTCTGCGGGACTTCTTTCGTGAGACGGACTCTACATTGTATTGCGTAAAAAATGTTCAACCAATAGTATAATGTAATTATAACCAATAGTAATATAGTATAAGTATAATAATAATAACCAATAAATCCGCAAGGCAGCTTATAGGGAGCTGTTGGGCAGTGGCGACTCCACGAGGCTGACTCCCGGGAGGTGTCTTGTTCTCCATCTCCGGTTAGTCCTCGTGACGAGCTCGAATGAAAACTGATGAAGAACAAGCCTTTCTACCTCATTCTTGCCTTAATTAGCTGGCTTGAGTGGAGATTCGCAAGAGTAGGAGTTGAAGGAGACTCAGGGGAAGGATGTGTGTCAGTTAGGTGCTGGTAGGGGTCTTGACCATACTTCTGGGATTGCTCTGATAGCCGTGGGATGCCTCTCCTTTCCCAAGCAGCTCAACGTATGTTGCCCCCTTGTCGCTACATGCTAGCGGCCGTTTTCGGGGGCCCATTAATTGAGTTTGCCAGTCACCCCCTGCCTGTTTATCCGTATGTATCAATATTGGTCAGGGTTTGAGGCAAGTTTTAGGATGTCTAAATAAAACTTTATTGAATTGAAAGGTTTGAGAAAGATCTCTTGTGGTTATGGACAATGCACACAAACAAATAAAGTACCAACCATGTCAAGCATAAAAGTTGATATGCTTAAGTGGTTGCAAGAAAAGGGTATTCATTTTGAAGAGACCTGGACAAAAGCCGTTTTGTTAAAGTGAATATCGTTAAAGATATTAAAATCAGATCAGATATTTAATGTTAAGTTGAACTTTTGGGGAGTCTTAAACAGTGAATTTGGCAATATTCTGTGACTAGACGGCAGCGCCGCGTCTGCGGGACTTCTTTCGTGAGACGGACTCTACATTGTATTGCGTAAAAAATGTTCAACCAATAGTATAATGTAATTATAACCAATAGTAATATAGTATAAGTATAATAATAATAACCAATAAATCCGCAAGGCAGCTTATAGGGAGCTGTTGGGCAGTGGCGACTCCACGAGGCTGACTCCCGGGAGGTGTCTTGTTCTCCATCTCCGGTTAGTCCTCGTGACGAGCTCGAATGAAAACTGATGAAGAACAAGCCTTTCTACCTCATTCTTGCCTTAATTAGCTGGCTTGAGTGGAGATTCGCAAGAGTAGGAGTTGAAGGAGACTCAGGGGAAGGATGTGTGTCAGTTAGGTGCTGGTAGGGGTCTTGACCATACTTCTGGGATTGCTCTGATAGCTGTAAGACGCCTCTCCTTCCCCAAGCAGCTCAAGGAATGTTGCCCCCTTGTCGCTACATGTTAGCGGCCGTTTTCGGGGGCCCATTAATTCAGTTTGCCAGTCACCCCCTGCCTGTTTATCCGTATGTATCAATATTGGTCAGGGGCAGGGGCAGTCCTTAGCAACCCATACCCATAACCCTTTAAATGTTTACCACATTTCGCAATAGTCCTCCATCAACCGGGGATTGTCCTTGGCTGCACTTTCATAGTGCATACAGGGATAATTGCCGACTGATGTCTCATTTCACTTATATTAAAGTTGTCCAAAGGGCCTCTGCGAGTTGGCTTCGGCCCCTCGTACGCCTTCCAAAGGTCCGGGATCCTGTGATCCCGTGAACGGAAACGGACACACAAAATAATCAATAATATAATATGTAATAGTAGGATAGTAGATTTTACAAAAATAAATTCATTGTTTCATTAATGTATCGAAAATATCATTTACAATATATAGCCTTAAGATTGTACATGAGTAACATTACGAGCAGAAACGTCATCACTGAGTGCCGGTAGTGGAGGTGCAACCGTGAGAGGTACACGGATGCACATCAGGCTCGTATTTGTATCATCTGTAATCCTGAACTCCACTGGTAGACTGGTGCCCTGAAATGAAACACTCTTGTCACAGATTTGTAGGTACTGGTGGGTGGAGCCAATTAATTACATCATTAAGTAATTATTCATCATTAACTGTTAAATTTAGTACAAAATTAAGGAATTACTGCTGGCTGAAGAAGACGACAACAGAATGTTTTCAAATTCTCGAATATTATGTTTAGTAATTGCACATTGTTTGGCAAAATGCTTATCCCTATTAACTATATAGGTAGTCAAAAGTCAAAAAGTCAAAATAAATTATTTCAAATAGGTGAAAATAATAAAATGACTTCTCCCGCCCAGGGCGGGGCGGGAGGAAGATTCAGACTAAAAACCCCCCCGTTCCTTCTCTTCAGTCCTCTTAGTGAAGCTTAGTGATTCGTGCCAATCAATACGTTGTGTATTTAGATCGACTTCGGAAACATATCGTAAAATACAATTTATTATATACTAAAGTCGTGTCTGAAACCTTTTGTTTCGAGGGGGGAAAATCATCACAATACTTCTCTACTCTTACTAACTAAAAATCACCGTTCTTTTTTGCTGCACATACCTCATTTTCAACTACAAGACTATGTTGACTAACTTTATTTTTAGACCTTCCTGCCTTACTAGTCTTATTCCAAGTGTCTTTGATAACATTGGTACTGTTCTTCATCTTCAAGCCTAAGAACAGGGATTTTGCAAGAGAACCTTTTTAAATAATTTAGAATAGTTTTTTACATATTCACCAAATTCAACAGTGTTAATATATGTCCGCTCATTATACAGCTCATAGAGGCGATTTCTATTCTTATAGACCAGTGGTTGCCCAATCACCAAAGACACATTGCTATTAGCCGGTATTGTTTTAGTTTTGAAAGGAAACTTTGTTAAGTACATGTTAGAAAAATCATCATAAAAAGTGTTACAATTCTTGTAATTCAACAACAAAGGCAATTTGTTGCTGTCTTAGTCTTAACCTTTGAATTAACTGCGCTTGCCCGCAACCCAAACTGAAAATCAGCCTTATTGAGCCCCATTTGTTGGTTTTTTGAGGCATTATCTACCATTCTGACCTATAAAACGCATGAACACTGCCTCTTAACAACAGATTATGCTAGTTTAAGAGACAAGGCTCAAAATCTATACTAATATAAATGCAAAAGTCAATCTGTCTGTCTTTTCTTCACGCCTAAACTACCGAACCGATTTCTGTGAAATTTTGTACGGACATAGTTTGGAACTTGAGAAAGGACATACAATAGTTTTCATACCAAAAATCTGCAGGAAGTCACGATTTCACGCGAACGGATTCGCCAGCAAAAGCTAGTATTTAATAAAGGAAAATTTTACTTTCTAAACTATATATGTCATAGTTGTGTTTGTGCTTAATAAATAGATTATTTAGTTAATTAGACGGTAACAAGCGATACTAATGCTACTACTATTGCTAAATATTTTACTTACCACCGGGAATGATGGTTGTATGAACATTTGCAGGGTGTACTGCACAATCTCATCTTGAACGAGAGGGCAGTAGGTGTTAGTGAGGTAATTGCATGTGTGTCTTGCCTCTCCGAGAGGGTATAAGATTGGAAATAACATAAATGCTGTGGCATGAGTGGTCATTGTATGAATGGTGCGCGCTGAAAAAAAAAACAGAAATTAACTATGGTATCCGTTCTTTTTGAATAATATCTATTCTTTCTTATTCCTAATAAAATTTGGCATAATGATTTTATTATTATTTGTTTTGCCACATTCTTTTACATAACTTTACACACATTTTAATGTGAGAGAGCCATGCTTCAGCACGAATGGACCAGCTCTACCGGAGTGATACGACGGCCTCACAGGACATCAACGTGAAACAATACTGTCGTTGTTTTTCGCCGTGTGACTGAGGATACCGGAGGCCCAATGGTCCCCCTTCCCTTCCAAGATTATGGGAACCATTCGATGTACTTATATAAATAGTACCCTCATTTCCGCTTTTGAATCAGTTATGAAGATATCATATTAACATAAATCACCAAATACACTACCAGCTCAGTGAATTGTAATCCAATGTTTACTAAACTGTCTAGGCGGTTAAATGAATAGCTATTAAAACGTGTCATTTCTATATTTTTTATGAAAACATCAGTATGAACTGGTTAAGATTAACTTCGAACTTGTCTTTACAAAATATATTTCGCTAGGCGATCGTATATTCGATAGCCGGGAGAACATCTAGAGTGTTAAGGTGAAGTACTAACGTGCTCTGAATATAACGTTTATGACTGCATATGTGTTCTGAGGAAAAACACAAGGCGGATCCAAGCATCCTTCTATGAAAGCGTTAATCGGTAGTGGCCCAGAATGATAAGTACCTGTAAAAATAAAACATACGCATTAAACAAGGCTAAGAAACTAACATAATTGAAAATTTTACCGATGAATGTGCGGAAAGTACATAGACGGCGAGGCCACAATAGCTTTCTCAGTTTTTTGTCCTTTTTTGTCAGGGGAAAGTCATCAAGTGACCTTTCCAGCCCAGGAAAGGTGAGAGAGAGTGTCAGACTCTTATTGACTAAAAAACCCCCGGTTCCATCTCCTGTTCTGGTTCGAGGCGGTTCTGTGGTGGTCTATCGGCTCTTTGAAGCTCGCGCGGAACTGGTCTGGATCTGGTTTGGCGGCGAACAACCCTTACTCGCCGACCACAGACCCGCGCTTACGGTGGCCGGAGATCGTCTCTCCCATGACGCCCGGAATGTGTACTGCGGCGGCTGGGGCGCGAGGAGGATAGTGCCCTCACGCGCTCCGCCCCCTCCTTTGCGAGCATCACTGCTTCGTAGAAAGAGGAGACGGCTTCCCAGTTCCTCTCGCTACGACCATGGCCTCGTCTAAGGCCGGACGCGAGAGTTCGCCGCCGCCGATCACTTTCCTGAGGACACGGCGGTGCTCAGCCCAAGCAATGTCTTCTCCCGCCCTGGGTGCCCGGCAAGAACCAGGCCCGAGCCCTGAAGCTTTGAGGCGCACGGAACGCTACGCGCCGTACCCTCTGGTCTGGCTCTGGTCAGACGGCGGCTACCCTTACTTGCCATAAGCAGACCCGTGACAGTAGTGCAGTACAGTAGCCGGAGGACGCCATGGTGTCTCTCTCCTCAAAGAGGGGTCTTACCGCTGTTATAACAGCGTACCCGGCCCTCGGTTGCGACAAACGTTGCTTCTACTCTGATATAAGATCGCGCCGGAGCTCGTTCCGTCACGCACTAGAATGGCGCGACAGAAGAATATCACCCTAGTGACGCGCGTCAGCACGCAAACTGTAGACGTGCGCGAGCGCCTTCTCTTTCTGATCCCATGGCGATTTTCCGGCAAGGAGGTTCGCCGACTCACCGGAGACCGTGCAATTGCCGCGCATTATGCGGATGGCCATGACCCCTGGGACGTGACCAGCGCTCGAGCTGGCTGGCGCCTCAAGTTCGGAGCCCACACAGGGGCCACGTAGATGGCCATGGACCGCACCACTGCACATTTCGTTAGGGATTGGGGGAGCGAAAGAGTGGGTCCCCGGTAACGGCGAAGCGCAACGCTGTGGTTGTTTCACGTCGGTTTTGTTGTGGGGTCGTGGTGGAACACTGGTCGACACATTATGGTTCTACCTCACTTTCATCCAGCTAAACGTAATGAAAACAAAAATATATTTTTAGAAAAATAATGTCATGTGAACATTTAAAATAGTTAACTCGTAAGAATTACATTATTATCAGTTAATCGGATTGATAATGCCACTATGTGACAGAATGATATGAGATAAGATGGCATTTTGACGAAATGTATTTTTTTTTTGGAGCCAAAAATTCTTGTAAATCTTATTCTATAATTTGATATATGAGTAAACACTGAATCATGTAATAAAGCGTTTTCTTTGTATGCAAATCCAAACTATACAAAACCAATAGAATATTCAATTTAATACAAATCACGAAATTACAGAAGCCTTTCTAAATATAAAGATGATAATAAAATAAAAGACACAGTGAACGGCAAAATGCAGCTTGCTTCTGTTCTACCTAGAAATCCTAAGTCCTGTCTCCAACCACTGCAGTAAACGGCCCGGGGGTTAGGTTTGCGGGACGGTCTCCGGCCATTGTATTCGCGCGACTATGGACGGCGAGTAAGAGTGGCTCGTCGCCCGAGCAAGTAAAGGGTGCGTCATTTTCCAAGCGTGCCGTCAGACTATTGCAAATGAGGAGCCCTAGGTCCAATGTGCAGTCAGGGTTGCGCGTGCGAGTGCAACTATATACCACAGTCTGTCTCGGGCAGTGAGAAGTAATAGGGTAGATTTTAAACAGTAAGAATCTAACGCTGTTTCTCCCAACCCAAGATGGGAGAAGAGAAATCGTTTGATAACATTGGCTCTCAAAAAACTCAAGACTTACATGTTTGTACATTGGTGGTCTGTCCGTGAGCTAGTGCCAGGAGAGCGCAGACGTAAGCCACAACCCGCAACATGTTGACTTTTTCTGACGTGCACAGACTGAATGATACTTATTCGATATAAACTATTAATTAATAGATACGGAATTTGTAATCAGTTGATAACACACGTGTGGACTAAAGCTTAAATCTTATTGATAAATATCCGATTATAATACACAGCTGTGTACTGATTCATCATCAAAATTATTTTGTTTGCTATTTTATAGGTAAGACAATGTCTTTATGTCTTTATAACGTAGTTAAAGCAAACTTAAGTCGCTACTCTCGCGTTTTTACACTTTTTATTCGTGTATTTTATTACATTGTGCTATATCATAATCTTTCATCATCATCATCATCTTCAGCCTATAAGTGCCCACTGCTGAGCAAAGGGCACTTCTTACACGGAGAAGGTTTGAGCATTATTCACCACGCTTGCTCAATGCGGGTTGGCGATTTCAATCTTATAATTAGAAATTATAAGTCCAGGTTTCCTCACGATGTTTACCTTCAGCGTATATCAGTGGTGTCTAAATAATCATAGAAAGTTTATATAACTCGGAAAAAGTCATATTGGTACTTGCCAGGTTTCGAAACTACACCACCACCTCGTGCATGAGAAGCGGGCTCCTTAACCTCCGGCTTGCACAAGCCGGGTAGGTTATTTCAAAATTATGATTTAAAATTATAAGTCTTGTTTTTTTCTTTGTAACCCTTTACTGTAATATTTTATGTTAGTGATATCAAAATATCATACATGATACATGTATGAACATATGAAATGTATAACTCGGAAAATTCATTTTGGTTACCATATATGTTACGAACCTACACTCATTTATGAGAAGAGCGCGCACTTACCTCGGGGCCGACAGGATTATTTTTTCTTAAAAATAAAACATTGCCCTACATTAGGATTTTCTCCTGTGTCGTGGGTGCTGTTACGAACATACATTTTCACATACACAAGACAACCAGACCCGGAACAACAATTTGTAGATCACACAAAGAGTTGTTCCGTGCGGGAATCGAAACCGCGACACGTTGCACGGCAGCCAGTTGCCCAGCCACCGCACCAACCGTGCAGTCGATCTATATCGAGGGAATTTATTACAACTAATATGTACCAGCTTAACTGGAGAACTTTAAGCATGGGAAAGCCATGCTTCGACATGAATTGGTATCATTATACCGGCGTAAAAGAACAACAGCATTGTGTTGTTGAGGCATCCAAAGGTCCAATCTTCCCCCCTTATCTCATCCCATTTTCTATCAATAAATGTACTTTCCAAAGAACTTCAAAATTGTGATATTAGAAGTTATTTTCGAAGTCACAAATTTTAATTTTGAATACCATACTTCTACATGGTACGAATGTGTTAAAAGTTATTTATTATCCTTTGAAAGCAGCAGTGTGATTCTGTAAGACTTCATTCTAAACTTCGAATCTGAATCCGCCGTGAGTAGTAGTACACTAGCGCTACACTTGCGAGTTGAACTAAATTGACAGCATCATTTTGAAAGATAAAGTATGAAATGACGTTAAAAGTGGCATTCTAAAATTTAATTTCTCCGTCACTTCGACGCTCACTTCGCACTCGAACACGATTCAAAATCAAACAAATTTTATAGAATCGACGTGCAGTAACCAAACAACTGGATACATTTTTACTACGAATTCGGCGATCAACAGAATTCTATTTTAGTAAATTTGTAAATTCAATTTCAATGACGACATACTGTAATTATTACAAACCAGCAGACGGATTAGCTGATGGTAAGCAACCGATAATTTTGCAGGTGTCCGTGTCTTTTGTGCAGCAGATATACATATGTAAAAAGAAGAAGGACTATCTTCTCAGAGTTAGAAATTGTCACGGGATGATACAGGGTGTAAAAAGACACTTAACGAAGCCGAAAGCCACGTATTCTACCCATTATTTGGATCATTTTTTTCTTTAAGACCATAGCTGGGACTCCACGCGTTCTCGAGATATTGAAGGTCAAAGATGAATTTTTATTTTTTTCTTTTTCGGGAATCGAATTCTAAGTATTATTACAAAACTTTTTTCCAAACAAATATTACCTGAATTTTCGATTTTTCTAAATAAATTACGCATTTGTAGTTACGAACTGTAATGTACGTAATAAATAAATGCAGACCCGCACAAAAAACATCGTGCATCTCAGTAGGATTTTTATTTTACAGAATTGTTTTGTTGTTGCGAAGTAAAACGTCGACCTACGTACTTATCACAGGGTTTTAATGCTAAGCTGTGAACCTACGCACACAATGACACGAAGCCCGTTTGCTTTACATTGCGCGCAATATTTATTTTTTTTGTTTGATACCTAAAAATAAAAGTCGTTTACCAGTAATAATTTTAGCGTATATATGTATAGTTGTTCTGGATACCTACCTCATTTGATGGGGCTATAGTTACCATAAAACCTTCAAGAAAAGAGACGGTGATGTCAGATGGCGTCAGCAAAATTTCAAATATTACTAAAGAAACATAAGTTGTGAATCGTGCAAATATAAATATGAAAGTTTGTGAGAATGTATGACTGCACGTTTGTTCGTACAACCATATATTCTCGCTACGCATAAACGGCTGAACTGATTTGGTTGAAATACCCAGGATTAACACATAAGATACTTTTTATTAACACACCACACGGGCAAAGCTACGAGCGGAAGCTAGACAAATGAAATATGTTAAGCTAAGAAAAAGAACTACAATATAACAAAATTATATGACTAATTTATATTGAGAGACTGCACGATTGGTGCGGTGGCCGGGCAACTGTCATGCAACGTGTCGCGGGTTCGATTCCCGCACGGAACAACTCTTTGTGTTTTTATAATAACTATCGTGAGGCATACTAAATTAACTAAAAATTGACGATACTGACGTAGGCTGCGCGACTCTGCTCATGAGGAAGAACCCCTCTGTGGTTCGAAACTAGTAGAGCTTTTCTCAATATATACACGTGAATAACCCGCGATTTTTAGTTAACTCTTTGTGTGATCCACAAATTGTTGTTCCGGGTCTGGGTGTCATGTGTATGTGAAATTGTAACTTTGTAACCGCACCCACGACACAGGAGTAAATCCTAAGGTGGAGCAACGTTTTTTTTTAAAAAAAATTCTTTTGACGTTGTAGAGCCTTCTCTGTACTTGCCATTTTCCAAGTAATCTTAAACTTGAAACAATAATGTCTTCTTTAATATACTTTCCTGCTCAAAACCTTCATTTAGCACCGAACCTTATAGACGTATATTTTTAAAAAAGGATTTATTTGAACAGAACAATAATAAATATTAAGAAATTTAACATTGAAACACTAAATTTATTTTTGTAACTAGGCCATAAAAAATCTTTATTACACGTAAAAATTATATGTAAAAATACTAGATACTTACCTTGACGCCTTCCTTTCAGACTATTCTGAGAAGAAATGCTGAAATAGACTCAGAGGTCAGTCTCTTTTCAAGTCCATACAATGTGAAAAATAATATAATGTGGCAGAACCGTGGACCTTCATGACATAGTAGCCTTTTGAGGAAAGAACCACACCACTATTAAGGCGTAATAAAATATTGAGCGCCTTTAATAAAATACTTCTTTAACTTTAATTTTTGAAACATGTTGCTATTGCATTTCATACACACGTTTAATTCGCATAAAATGAATTATCACGTTATTTAGCTTGGAGCCGAAATATTTTTTGTAACATATTTTTTTTGCATTTTATGTGGGAGAGCCATGTTTCTGCACGAATGAGGTCCCTCGAGTCCTAAAACCACGGCCTCATAGTAAACTGGCGTGAAACAAATACAGCGTTGTGTTTCGCCGTGTGAGCGAGTCTACCGGAATCCCAATACCTCCCACACAAAGAAGGCCTCCCTAATTTCTAAAGTTTCACGATCAATAATCTCATAACCCTTCTGGTGTTGTAATTCTACATAAGCGGCGTCATATCACATAAAAACAAGATATCTATTCAAAATTATATAGCAATATCTTACATAGATACCTCAAATCCATTGTATCTAATTTTTTTTTAAGTATTAGGTTATATTATCCTAAAGTGAATAAAACTGTCCTTCAGTCTTTTCGCCTACCTTTCACAGTCAAAATCTTCGTTCTTTCCATAGCCGTCTTCTCCAATGTCCCACTCAACACACTGATTTACTTCTCTCCTCCCTGTTTTCCCAGTCTGTCTTACTGTGGAATGCCTGCCCACCAGATGTCGTCGTCAGACTTTTAAGCAAAAAGTTCATGATCTTTTTTTGAAAGGTTTGGCTGAATCATGACCACATTATAATAAGTACACGTACTATATACTCGTATGTAATTTATTAACACATAATATTATTTGAATATGTCGGAATATATATTATATTTCAATAAGTATACAAGTAATAAGCACAATTCAGTATTTATCTCATACATATAAAGTCAGGGCTTGCTTGCTCGCTTCTGGCACCAATCATTCACTGATCTCTCATCATTCAAAGCTCGACTAGTAGAAAATGCCTTAGGCAATAAGTCCGCCGTGAGTCCCCCTATGTAACAATTGTACATGAAGTTTTAATAAATTATCTTGTTTATTGAATTTATTAACTATCATTCAAACCCTAGTCAAGATTCTCTCTGTATTTGTATGTTAGTGGTATTACTCATTTATATTGACATATATTGGTCTGTTTAACAAACTTTCTACAAACTATCCAATAAAAGTTATGTGGCGAAAAGATAATAAAAATGTGTTTCATTTTCAAATTTATCAGTACCTTTCAGATTATTCAGGCATTGTTAAACATGTCCTTAGTCTGAGAAGGGGGTGAGGGAGAGAGTGCCAGACTCTTACTGACTTATCTCAATAATCATCACGGCTGCGGTATATCGTTGAGCTTACACATGCAACTCTGGCTGGACAACGGCCATAGCGTGACATCTATAATGGTCTGATGGGAATTTGTGGAGCGCGGAACGCGATGCTCAGATATGGTTCTACTGCAAGCAAGCTGCCATTGCTCCTCGTCCTCATACCTGCGCTCACAGTGGTTAAAGATCGTCACGCAAAAAACGGTCTCAACATCGGCTCCATGAAAAGTATCACTTCCCCACGCGCTTTTATTATTTTTGTTAGGGTAAAATCATCAAAAAGCTCCCACCAAGGGTGAGGCGGGAGGGATTGTCGGTCTCTTTCTTACTATAACAACCAGTTCCTTTTTCTGCTGTAGGCCAAGGCCGCAGTGCCCCATTGCACCTCCCTCCGCATCTGCCGTTTTCTGTAAGCACTTATCTTAGGCGAAGGGTGAGGACGTAGTACGTACGTACTTACGTTACTCAATAAGTAAAATTTTAAATTACTAAACCATTGTATTTCATCTTTTTTTTAGTATTAGGTTATATTATCCTAAAGTGAATAAAACTGGACCAACGTGTGAGCCCTGAGCAGCCATTGTCATGTAGCAGAAGCCTGGCTAAGAGCACCGAAGAATGAACGACAAATCAATAAATATTTTCCTGTTACCTACTCTAACAAAAGGTTTGTACCAAAGCAAAGCATCGTTTAGGCAGTAGCTTTAGTTCAAGGTCGTCCATTAGGTTATGATATTTTTAACAATATTGGAGTATCATGCTCATTCATCTCCATAAGAATCTACACTTTGGAACGAGCAAATAGCTTCATTAGAGGATTCTACTTTTTGTGTGTGAATCTGTCGGTTTGACTTCCAGTGAAACTATTTACTTGTTTTCTTGGATGATTTTTGACTGGAGGTGTATCATATTGTTCTCGATTCCTGTTAAGGTGTCAGACAGATACGAGTTACACCGACGAAGTCCACTATTACGGCCATAGAATAGATCCGGTTTGGTACTGTACTGACCAGATGAACAATTTGAATTCATTTTTCATGCAAACATTGATGCTTAGGAATAATAAAAAATACGAATTGAATGCTGATATTTTTTATTTCATTAAAACAACTGTGCAACTCAACTTCGTGGCATATGTTAACTCAAGGCATGAGTTGTAGGTCTAAGTTTGGGTGATGTCGGAACTGATTGTGCTTCAGCTCTATACTCCGGCAGCCGGCCCGGCAAGCATGTTGGAAGACACAGGAGGCGCGATTCTGATTGGCACACGAATGCAAACCAGGTTGTTGTTGTTGTCATCCACGATCCTAAACTCGATTGGTAGACTAGTTCCCTGTAATAGAAATTATGATTGTTAGTGAACTACTAGGAACATTGGGCGCTCTCGACTGCCAATACACGAACACCTGCCCCTAAACTGTTACTACACGTCGCTCGACTGACTCAGCAGGATTCTATGATGACGAGACCTCGCGCACCTCAGTCGTAGACAAACATCACAACTAGTAGAACACCAGTGACAATAACTCACCGCAGGGAAAGCAGGCTCGATGAACATATTGAGGGAGTACTGCACCTCCTCGCCTTCTTCCAGAGGGCAGCTGCTGTTAGTGAGGTAATTACAGGTCTGAGCTGCCTCTCCGAGAGGGTAAAAGATTGGTAATATTGACAGAAATGCTGTGGCATGAGTGGTCATGCTCTGCACGGCGCGGGCTGGAACAAATATGTATTTATATAAATAGTGTCACACATCAGCACGAGGTAGTTCTGTGAGGTGAGCCCATTGCCCTACATCAGGCACAGTTCTATACTACACCAGCGAGGCAGAAATATAATGTTACTAAACAAGGTACTGACGTGCTCGGAACTTGATGTTGACGACCGCATCTTGTCCTTGTGGGAAGACACATGGCGGAGTAACACAGCCCTCTATGTACGTGTGTATCGGCAGAGGTCCACTGTGGAAAGTACCTGTAAAAAGTAAGTAAACCATTACTACTGCACCAGAAAGCAGCTACATCGGTCTCCAATATTGACGAACTGAAGATACTGAAGGACAGAACGGAACTGCTGTCCGTCTATGAGTAAAACAGATGTGGTACACTATGCATGTACTCACACTGGTTTACATTGGTGGTCTGTCCGTGAGCTAGTGCCAGGAGAGCGCAGACGTAAGCCACAACCCGCAACATGTTGACTTGTTCTGACGTGCACAGACTGAATGATACCTTTCCCGCGTAAATTGGTGTATTTATTCAAACATGTAATCAGTATTTAGTTGATTGATAAACATTGTGTTGGTCAAAGATTTGTAGTGATTGATAAAACAAAGATTTAATTCACAGGTGTGGGCTTAGTCATGAATGAAATGTTTTCAAGTTGGAAGGTAGGTGCCATGTAAATACAAAGTACCTATATATGTATAGGCAACTATGTATGGCTTGCTCTTGCCAGTGACAAGTGTGCCTAACGCTTAGTACAGGCGCAGGTTACCTGGATCGTTAATCTATTCAGGGGACCAGCGCGAAGTGCGGCGCGTTTTTTTAGGAGTTGGTATTGAGTAGCGGGGATGGTGTCGTAAACCTAAAGCTACATACATACATTTATATTATATTAAAGGGTATCCTAGTCAGAAAAAAATAAGTTAATGAAGAAACCCGGCAGGTGTTTTGCCTACACAGAACATCTGACATGTTCTGTGTAGGCAAAACATATTTGTGAATCAACGATTTTTCAGAATAACAATATATTATCGCCTCATGCTAGCAGCTGACGGAACTTACTGTGCACTGATTTATCAAAGCATCGTAATTTTATATTACCTATTGTTACAACATAAACGCATAAGTCTCCGCTAAATAAACTTGAGCGACTTCTTAATAACTGCTCTCAATACGTTTTCAACGTGTGTAAATATGTTCATATTTCTACATATCGGTTGGACTTAAAGTGGTTGCCCATACGCCAGAGCAGCACGTCGATTCTATAAAATTTGTTTGATTTTGAATCGTGTTCGAGTGCGGAGTGAGCGTCGAAGTGACGGATAAATTAAATTTTAGAATGCCATTTTAACGTCATCTCATACTTTATCTATCAAAATGTTGCTGTCAATTTAGTTCAACTCGCAAGTGTAGCGCTAGTGTACTACTACTCACAGCGGATTCAGATTCGAAATTTAGAATTAAGTCTTACAGAAACACGCTGCTGGGAGCAAAGGGCGCTTATCAGTCTGTGCGCTTTCCTTCAGCCTTTTCGCCTAGCTATATATCCTCTTACTTTCATACATGTGCGCAAACCACAGTAAAAACCTTCGTTCTTTCCATAACCGTCTTCTCCAATGTCCCAATTACCACACTGATTTACTTCACTCCTCCCTTTCCTCCCTTTTTGTCCAGTCTGTTATGCTGTGGAATGCGTTTCCCCCCGGATTTCAGAAATGTGGTCGTTTGAGTTTTAAGCAAAATGGTTGTGAGTTTTTGTTGAAGGGTTTTGCTGAATCATGACCACCATGTATTATAATAACACATTTTATAATTTAAATATGTTGGTATATATATTATATTATAATTAGTATGCAAATAATACGCACATATGGGTATTAACTTCATATCTTATATAAACTTAAGTTTGCTTGCTTCTTGCACCAATCAATACAAACAGTACAACTTCATGCACAATGTTGTGCATAAAGTTATAATAATTTGGTATCTTGTTTATTGGATTTATTAATTACCGTTCAAACCCCAGTAGCCCTAGTCAGGATGCTGTCTGTATTTGGATGTAAGTGATATTAGTCATTTATATTGACATCTTTTGGTCTGTTTAACAACCTTTCTACAAGTATCCAATAAAAGTTATGTGGCGAAAAGTTTATGAAAATTATGTTCCAAATTTTCAAATTTATCAGTGCCATTTCGGCTATTAAGACATTGCTTAACATGTCGTTAGTTTGAGAAAGAGGTGAGAGAGAGAGTGCCAGACTCTTACTGACTAATCTCAATAATCATCCCGGCTGCGGTATATCGTTGAGCTTACACATGCAACTCTACCTGGACAACGGCCATAGCGTGACATCTGTGGTGGTCTGATGGGACTTTGTAGAACGCGGAACGCGATGCTCAGATATGGTTTTAATGGAAGCAAGCTGCCATTGCTCCTCCTCATACCGCGCTTACAGTCGTTAGAGATCGTCGAGCAAAAACTGTATTCTGCATCGCCTCCACGAGAAGTGTTAGTTCCTTTCGCGCTTTTTTATGTATTTGTAAGTACATGTTCTTAAACCTTCCAACTGGGCATCTACCTGATCAAGCAACATTATGATAACACATTACAATGAGTCAGCTCATAACTATGAATTAAATCTTTATTTTTTATCAATCAATTGATAATTGATTACACATTTAAATAAATACACCGCCTTACGCCTGAAAGGTATCATTCAGTCTGTGCACGTCAGAACAAGTCAACATGTTGCGGGTTGTGGCTTACGTCTGCGCTCTCCTGGCACTAGCTCACGGACAGACCACCAATGTAAACCAGTGTGAGTATATGCATAGTGTACCACATGTGTTTTACTCATAGACGGACAGCAGTTCCATTCTGTCCTTCAGTATCTTCAGTTCGTCAATATTGGAGACCGATGTAGCTGCTTTCTGGTGCAGTAGTAATGGTGTACTTACTTTTTACAGGTACTTTCCACAGTGGACCTCTGCCGATACACACGTACATAGAGGGCTGTGTTACTCCGCCATGTGTCTTCCCACAAGTACAAGATGCGGTCGTCAACATCAAGTTCCGAGCACGTCAGTACCTTATTTAGTAACTTTATATTACTGCCTCGCTGGTGTAGTCTAGAACTGTGTCTGATGTAGGGCAATGGGTTCACCTCACAGAACTACCTCGTGCTGATGTGTGACACTATTTATATAAATACATATTTGTTCCAGCCCGCGCCGTGCAGAGCATGACCACTCATGCCACAGCATTTCTGTCAATAATACCAATCTTTTACCCTCTCGGAGAGGCAGCTCAGACCTGTAATTACCTCACTAACAGCAGCTGCCCTCTGGAAGAAGGCGAGGAGGTGCAGTACTCCCTCAATATGTTCATCGAGCCTGCTTTCCCTGCGGTGAATTATTGTCACTGGTGTTCTACTAGTTGTGATGTTTGTCTACGTCTGAGGTGCGCGAGGTCTCGTCATCCTAGAATCCTGCTGAGTCAGTCGAGCGACGTGTAGTAACAGTTTAGGGGCAGGTGTTCGTGTATTGGCAGTCGAGAGCGCCCAATGTTCTTAGTAGTTCACTAACAATCATAATTTCTATTACAGGGAACTAGTCTACCAATCGAGTTTAGGATCGTGGATGACAACAACAACAACCTGGTTTGCATTCGTGTGCCAATCAGAATCGCGCCTCCTGTGTCTTCCAACATGCTTGCCGGGCCGGCTGCCGAAGTATAGAGCTGAAGCACATACAATTCCGACATCACTTAGACCAAAGCGTTGAGTTGATATTACATAAATAAAATAATAATCTAGATAATTCACTTTTGTTTAAAGATGTTAAAGTAGGTACAGAATATACAACCTGAACTAGATCATTCTGTGTTTCAGGCGAGAGTTGGCAAAAAAACATAAGAGAATATTCTTATCTATATAAAAAAAATGAAATAAAATAATACTTAAACTCTATTCTTGTGTTTAATTATATTCCGTTCCAAAACACCATCTCGAGAAGTTCCTCAAGGAAGAGTTCTGGCCGAAGGTAGTCGTGTACCTATCGCCAGTTTCGTGGGCTCCTGCATGACACTAGTCAGCGAAACATGCTTCGGCACGAATAGGTCGGCTCGACCGAAGCGACACCAAGGCCTCTCAGAAAACCGGCGTGAAACAACTACAGCGTGGTGTTTCACCGTATGCGTGAGGTTACCAGAGACCAATCTTTCCTCTCCACCAAATCCTAATTCCCCAAAACCCAAAACCCAAAAATAATATGTCGGCAACGCATTCGTTACTCCTCCATTGCTATGGGTGTCCATCGGCGGAGCTGATTGGTTACTATCTGTTAATACGTCTGCTCGTTTGCCGTTCTATGACATAAAAAAAAATATTGATAGTATTTTAAGTTTTATGTGAAATATAATGTTTAACCTATACGTTTATATGAGCCTTCAATGCCTGAAATAAATAGCTATTCCACATGTCGGATTTTGCCACGCAAAGAAACCCCGAGCATAGCCCGTGCCATCGCACGCTGAGCGACTCTGAGTTTTTCAAGATGACTAGTAAGCCTATACATCTTAGCTTTATTTTAAAAAATAAAAGCCAAAAAAAGTCAGAGCATTGAGTTTATTTTTAGTCAGTAACAAACGAATACTCCCTCTCACCCAACCCCTCAAACAAAAAACATGATTCACAAAGTCTGAATGAATAACCACAACGTACTTAACAAAAATTTTATAAATAGAACGAAAATCAAAACTGGTAACTTTAGTAAACTTCTGGCACTTACTTTTGTACTCTTCTTTTGTAAACTTTAACTTTAAATGGATACTTGTAGAAATGTATGAAAGATGCCAATATGAACGACTCATACTACTTACGTACAATACCAACAAGAATCCTAGCTATGTGGGTGTGAATGATAATTATTATCAATGCAAAGATATAATGTGGTCACAATAATTTAAAAATGATCATTTGATAAATCAGTGCCAAGTTCCGTCAGCTGCTAGCATGAAGCAATAATATTGTTAATTTTGGGTAATCGTTGATTTACGAATATTTTTTTACATGCACAGAACGTTGAATGAAGAATGTAGTATAGTCTTTTTTTCTGACTGGGATATCCTTTAATGATTATTTCTAGCTTTAGGTTTACTCATACCAATTCCGCCACACGATACCATCCTATACTGTAGCGCACACTAGTCCCCTAAATAGGTGAACTATCGAAGAAGAATCGAAGCCCCTGCCATACAACTCTTTTAAATACAAGTTTTTCGGGCTCCTTATTCCTCATCCAAATAGATTCAATGTCGTATATCTGTCACCACAACTGAATTCCATACGACATGATGCTACGAAGGTAGCCGAAATAAACTAGTCTTGCTGTGCCTACGTCGGTTAACTGTCGGATGTTCCAGGTAGCAAAAGCTGCAGAGCTCAATCGTCCTGCTAGAGATCTAATTTGGGATCCACATTGCAGCTTGTCGTCTACAGTAATCCCCAGGTAATAAGTATTAGTCTCCTTTACAAATTCGTTTCTGACCTTTTGGTGATACACCTGTTACTTTTGAGATTTGGCAAAATAAGTCTAATGCATTTTGTCTTTTTATCATAAAACACTAATTTATTCTTTGTTAACCAATTTTGAACCTCTATTAACGTACACCAAAAATTGGAATGGAACTAATATTGAGCCCTGCGGTACACCTAAGATACTACTTTATTTTGTACCTTAAGTCGTCTTTCCTGAAGGCGTCATGCCTTCCTTCCCCTTGAAAAACCTAGAGTTCCTGGGCAACAACAGAGTTTGTACTAATGTATCGCATTTCGGTCTTCAATTTACATTCAGTGTTTTGGGATATGTCGCTAACTGTTACGGTAATTATATTCTAGGTAGTTTTTGTTTTATTTTTCATCGTCTTATTTTTTCTGCTAAAATATGTATTAATAATTTTAATTATTAGTAACGATATCACAGTAAATAAAACCTTGCACAGAATCTATTCTCATGAGATTTGATTCAATCATAGAATACACCTTAGAAAAGGCCTTTGCCCGAACATATCAGATACATCAGTACTGTCTGCGATGATGCGACTAGGCAGTAACTTAAAGGAAATTGAATATGTCAAAATCCTTGATAGTATTTTGGTCTTGATATGGTTGGCGAGGTCATTGATATCTAACAACGGTAAGTTCTCCGTGACTCCGTGACGTTGGTGGCCTTGTCGAAGAGCTATATGTTAATTCCCGACCACCGTGTCTGCTCCACATTGGTACTTCCCACTAAAGCCACCGTTCGTCGCCTTAGAGTGACTAGCGCATTAGGAGTCCAGGACTCGCCCTGATCACCGCAAAAATGTTATAAGCCGACTTAGTCCTCGTATATATTGAATATTCAGACGCCTCTTATTCAAAAAAGATGTGTCATGCAAGAGCTCAAGGATGATTGAGACAAAAGTTATTGTATCAAAGGGAGAAAAGAAGATCTTAGTATGTGTGACAACTGGAGGTGTATCATATTGTTCTCGATTCCTGTTAAGGTGTCAGATAGATACGAGTTACACCGACGAAGTCCACTATTACGGCCATAGAATAGATCCGGTTTGGAACTGTACTGACCAGATGAACAATTTGAATTAATTTTTCATGCAAACATTGATGCTTAGGAATAATAAGAAACACAAATTGAATGCTGTTTTTTTTTTTATTTCATTAAAACAACTGTGCAACTAAACTTCAAGTCATATGTTAACTCAACGCATGGGTTTTGGTTGTAGGTCTAAGTTTAGGTGATGTTGAAACTGATTGTGCTTCCGCTCTATACTCAGGCAGCCGGCCCGGCAGGCATGTTGGAAGACACAGGAGGCGCGATTCTGATTGGCACCCGAATGCAAACCAGGTTGTTGTTGTTGTCATCCACGATCCTAAACTCGATTGGTAGACTAGTTCCCTGTAATAGAAATTATGATTGTTAGCGATTTACTAGGAACATCACAAGAAACATTAGGCGCTTTCGACTGCCGATACACGAACACCTGCCCCTGGCCTGCTACTACTCGTCGCTCCACTGACTCAGCAGAATTCTATGATGACGAGACCTCGCGCACCTCAGACGTAGACAAACATAACAATTAGTAGAACACCAGTGACAATAACTCACCACAGGGAAAGCAGGCTCGATGAACATATTGAGGGAGTACTGCACCTCCTCGCCTTCTTCCAGAGGGCAGCTGTTGTTAGTGAGGTAATTGCAGGTCTGAGCTGCCTCTCCGAGAGGGTAAAAGATTGGTAATATTGACAGAAATGCTGTGGCATGAGTGGTCATGCTCTGCACGGCGCGGGCTGGAACAAATATGTATTAATATAAATAGTGTCATACATCAGCACGAGGTAGTCCTGTGAGGTGAGCCCATTGCCCTACATCAGGCACAGTTCTAGACTGCACCAGCGAGGCAGTAATATAATGTTACTAAATAAGGTACTGACGTGCTCGGAACTTGATGTTGACGACCGCATCTTGTCCTTGTGGGAAGACACAGGGCGGAGTAACACAGCCCTCTATGTACGTGTGTATCGGCAGAGGTCCACTGTGGAAAGTACCTGTAAAAAGTAAGTACACCATTACTACTGCACCAGAAAGCAGCTACATCGGTCTCCAATATTGACGAACTGAAGATACTGAAGGACAGAACGGAACTGCTGTCCGTCTATGAGTAAAACAGATGTGGTACACTATGCATGTACTCACACTGGTTTACATTGGTGGTCTGTCCGTGAGCTAGTGCCAGGAGAGCGCAGACGTAAGCCACAACCCGCAACATGTTGACTTGTTCTGACGTGCACAGACTAAATGATACCTTTCCCACGTAAATTGGTGTATTTATTCAAATGTGTAATCAGTATTTAGTTGATTGATAAACATTGTGTAGGTCAAAGATTTGTAGTGATTGATAAAACAAAGATTTAATTCACAGGTGTGGGCTTAGTCATGAATGAAATGTTTTCAAGTTGGAAGGTAGGTGCCATGTAAATACAAAGTACCTATATGTAGCCAGTGACAAGTGTGCCTAATACTTAGTACAGGCGCAGGTTACTTGGATTGTTGATCTATTCAGGGGACCAGCGCGGCGCGTGTTACCAAGTCCTGAGACTTGGTATTGGTCGGAGTAGGTTTTTGTCGTAGTTTGGTTTTAGTTTTTGTACTTTTTATTATTTGTACTATTTTGGTGTTAAAGTGTATTTGAGGCACATAATATCAACATTTAACTTATGTTGATATTATGCGCATCATTGATGAACTAATATTAAGTAGTAGAAGCTATGAACGAAAAGATGTGAATTATATGCAATCAGCACATGAGTACAGGCAGAGAGTGATATATATATTCAAAATATACAAGTAAAGCCCTTTAAAATGATACCAAACACGGTATAAGTATCTTACATTTATTTTGGTACTCTGATTGTTCTGTCCGCTAGAAGACGCCACATTAGATTTTGTGATAACTATGGGTTATCACAAAGTCGTCTATAAGCCTATAACCAGCGGACAATTAAGACGTTTCTAATGATATGTCATATATCGAATTCTAATATTTATTTTTGAATTAGCGAAGGAACAGATGAACATACATACATACATACATAGCCTGTCAAAATCATAACCCTCCTTTTGCTCTGCCGTAGTCGGGTAATTAAAGGGTATCCCAGTCAGAAAAATAATAAGTTAATGGGGAAACCAGGCAGGTGTCAGATGTTCTGTGTAGGCAAAACATATTTGTGAATCAACGATTATTCAGAATTAACAATATATTATCGCCTCATGCTAGCAGCTGACGGAACTTACTGGGCACTGATTTATCAAAGCATCGTAATTTTATATTACCTATTGTTACAACATAAACGCATAAGTCTCCGCTAAATAAACTTGACCGACTTCTTAATAACTGCTCTCAATACGTTTTCAACCTGTGTAAATATGATCATGTTTCTGCACATCGGTTGCAATTAAAGTGGTTGCCCATACGCCAGAGCAGGGAGCAAATGGTGCTTATCAGTCTGTGCGCTTTCCTTCAGCCTTTTCGCCTAGCTATATATCCTCTTACTTTCAATACATGTGCGCAAACCACAGTAAAAACCTTCGTTCTTACCATAACCGTCTTCTCCAATGTCCCAATTACCACACTGATTTACTTCACTCCTCCCTTTCCTCCCTTTTTGTCCAGTCTGTTATGCTCTGGAATGCGTTTCCCCCCGGATTTCAGCAATGTGGTCGTTTGACTTTAAAGCAAAATGGTTGTGAGTTTTTGTTGAAGTTTTTGGCTGAATCATGACGACCATATATTATAATAACATATTTTATAATTTGAATATGTTGGTATATATATTATATTATAATTAGTATGCAAATAATACGCACATATGGGTATTAACTTCATATCTTATATAAACTTAAGTTTGCTTGCTTCTTGCACCAATCACAATGCTGGGCATAAAGTTTTAATAAACTGGCATCTTGTTAATTGCATTTATTAAATACTATTCAAACCCCAGTAGCCCTAGTCAGGATGCTGTCTGTATTTGTATGTAAGTGATATTAGTCATTTATATTGACATCTTTTGGTCTGTTTAACAACCTTTCTACAAGTATCCAATAAAAGTTATGTGGCGAAAAGTTTATGAAAATTGTGTTCCATTTTCAAATTTATTAGTACCATTTAGGTTATTAAGACATTGCTAAACATGTCGTTAGTTTGAGAAGGAGGTGAGAGAGAGAGTGCCAGACTTTTACTGACTTATGTCAATAATCATCCCTGCTGCGGTATATCGTTGAGCTTACATATGCAACTCTGGCTGGACAACGGCCATAGCGTGACATCTATAATGGTCTGATGGGAATTTGTGGAGCACGGAACGCGATTCTCAGATATGGTTCTACTGCAAGCAAGCTGCCATTGCTCCTCGTCCTCATACCTGCGCTTACAGTGGTTAAAGATCGTCACGCCAAAAACGTTCTCAACATCGGCTCCATAAAAAGTATCACTTCCCCACGCGTTTTTTTTTTTTGTTTTTGTCAGGGTAAAATCATCATAAGACTACTACTGCCAAGGGTGAGGCGGGAGGGATTGTCAGTCTCTTTCTTACTATAACAGACCGCAGTGCCATATTGGACCATCTTCCGAATCTGCCGTTTTCTGTAAGCACTTATAGTATCTTAAGCGGAGGATGAGGACGTCGCGTCGTACGTACGTACTTACGTTACTAAATAAGTAAAATTTTTAATTACTAAACCATTGTATTTCATCTTTTTATTTTAGTATAAGGTTATATTATCCTAAAGTGAATAAAACTGGACCAACGTGTGAGCCCTGAGCAGCCATTGTCATGTAGCAGAAGCCTGGCTAAGAGCACCGAAGAATGAACGACAAATCAATAAATATTTTCCTGTTACCTACTCTAACAAAAGGTTTGTACCAAAGCAAAGCATCGTTTAGGCAGTAGCTTTAATTCAAGGTCGTCCATTAGGTTATGATATTTTTAACAATATTGGAGTATCTTGCTCATTCATCTCCATAGGCATCTACACTTTGGAACGAGCAAATAGCTTCATTAGAGGATTCTACTTTTTGTGTGTGAATCTGTCGGTTTGACTTCCAGCGAAACTATTTGCTTGTTTTCTTGGATGATTTTTGACGAGGATGATTATTGAACGTAAGTAACGAACTAAGCGAACCAGCGGCAAATTGTGGTTTGGGATGGAGCTAAATGACCAAATGCAGAAATCGTCCCATTAACACTGTTACACTGTTTTATGTAAGTTTTATGAAAACTGCATAACCCATATTTTGTTATCAATATAGGTTATATTTTGTTATAATTCGATCTTGGTGTATCTAAGTACATCCAGAAATAAAGAATTTAAATTATTTGGTATTTAAAATCAAACAGTTACTTTTGGCTGGTAACGAATGACTAAAAATAATTCCCCTTCACCATATCTTTTTTTTTATGTGATAGGACGGCAAACTAGCAGACGGATTACCTGATGGTAAGCAATCGGTGTCGCCTATGGACACCCGCAACAAAGAAGGAGTTACGAGTGCATTGCCAACCTTTTTAGGGATTGGGATTTTAGGGATTTAGGGATTGGGAAGGGATTGGGGCAGGGGAAGGATTGGGCCTCCGGTAACCTCACTCACACGGCGAAACACAACGTTGTGGTTGTTTCACGCCGGCTTTCTGTGAGGCCGTGGCATGACTCCGGTCAAGCCGACCCATTCGTGCCGAAGCATGGCTCTCCCACACTAAAACCGTCAGCTCCACGTTGGTACTTCCCACTAAAGCCACCGTCGGGCTTGGAGTGACAGACGCACCAGGAGTCCAGGACTCGCCCTGATCACCGCAAAATGTTATAAACCGAGCATGCTCAAGCAGAGCTCAAGGATGATTGAGACAAAAGTTATTGTATCAAAGGGAGAAAAGAAGATCTTAGTATGTGTGACAACTGGAGGTGTATCATATTGTTCTCGATTCCTGTTAAGGTGTCAGACAGATACGAGTTACACCGATGAAGTCCACTATTACGGACATAGAATAGATCCGGTTTGGTACTGACCAGATGAACAATTTGAATTCATTTTTCATGCAAACATTGATGCTTAGGAATAATAAAAAACACAAATTGAATGCTGATTTTTTTTATTTCATTAAAACAACTGTGCAACAAATTTTCAAGTCATATGTTAACTCAACGCATGGGCTTTGGTTGTAGGTCTAAGTTTAGGTGATGTCGGAACTGATTGTGCTTCAGCTCTATACTCCGGCAGCCGGCCCGGCAAGCATGTTGGAAGACACAGGAGGCGCAATTGTGATTGGCACACGAATGCAAACCAGGTTATTGTTGTTGTCATCCACGATCCTAAACTCGATTGGTAGACTAGTTCCCTGTAATAGAAATTATGATTGTCAGCGATTTACTAGGAACATCACAAGAAACATTAGGCGCTTTCGACTGCCGATACACGAACACCTGCCCCTGGCCTGCTACTTCTCGTCGCTCGACTGACTCAGCAGGATTCTATGATGACGAGACCTCGCGCACCTCAGTAGTAAACAAACATCACAACGAGTAGAACACCAGTGACAATAACTCACCGCAGGAAAAGCAGGCTCGATGAACATATTGAGGGAGTACTGCACCTCCTCGCCTTCTTTCAGAGGGCAGCTGTTGTTAGTGAGGTAATTGCATGTCTGAGCTGCCTCTCCGAGAGGGTAAATGATTGGTAATATTGACAGAAATGCTGTGGCATGAGTGGTCATGCTCTGCACGGCGCGGGCTGGAACAAATATGTATTTATATAAATAGTGTCGCACATCAGTACGAGGTAGTCATGTGATATAATGTTACTAAATAAGGTACTGACGTGCTCGGAACTTGATGTTGACGACCGCATCCTGTCCTTGTGGGAAGACACATGGCGGAGTAACACAGCCCTCTATGTACGTGTGTATCGGCAGAGGTCCACTGTGGAAAGTACCTGAAAAAAGTAAGTACACCATTACTACTGCACCAGAAAGCAGCTACATCGGTCTCCAATATTGACGAACTGAAGATACTGAAGGACAGAACGGAACTGCTGTCCGTCTATGAGTAAAACACATGTGGTACACTATGCATATACTCACACTGGTTTACATTGGTGGTCTGTCCGTGAGCTAGTGCCAGGAGAGCGCAGACGTAAGCCACAACCCGCAACATGTTGACTTGTTCTGACGTGCACAGACTGAATGATACCTTTCCCACGTAAATTGGTGTATTTAT